AAATAAAATCATAATCATAAAATGCAATCACAGTCAAGAGTTCTAGAGTGTTTATTCTCAACTCATTTCTGATGAATTGCACTAAGAAGTACTGAACTTTGTTCTCTTGAATCAATACTATCTCGTTGATACTGTTTTGATAAAACAGTGATTCTACTCAATTTTTGTAATAACCAGTCTTACCATAAACAGTCCCTATCTACTGAAAACTCTTAATTATCCAACTGTTATAGTAGGGTAGACTGTAAAATATTTCTGGAACATTCCTGAAAGTGTATTGGAATACCTGCAATGTATTTTTTAATATCGAACCAAAAAAATTTATTGCAAAAATTAATTGAAGATTATTGATGATAAATAATCATTTATTAATTCATTTGTAGAGCTTATTGCACTCACCTCAGCAATTAAGTTGATTTTATAGAGCTCACACGTATTTACAACGATGTAATTATCATTCATTTGATCTTTTTTAATTAACTGTTTTATTATTGGCTTATCGAAAGGTCTTCAATTATGTACACTTAAATATAAAATATGTAACAGAGTTTGAATTCGATAAATTAATGTAATTACACTTGTTTGAAACAGAATAATCGTTAAAATAATTATTTTTATTACTTGATAAAATTTTTTAGCCAACGTTGAATTTATATACAAAATAAATCAAAGATCATTGATAATAATGCACCAATCGTTTTCGGAAATTTACGATGATAATCGGAGCAGCAAAATACATAGGTTGAAGTGGTAGAAAACATTGTATCATTATTTTCAATAATAGTATAATTATAATTTATTGATACTTTTTTAGTTTTCTAGGACATTATTAAATACATAAATGAATGCGTGCAAATGCTCTCAGTGTAACTCTTTCCCTCCCTTCACTCTAAAAACTGACACGAGAAATATTTCAAAGTATTTCCATATACTCATACAACACAAATGTATTCTCTCTGCGCTTTTGCTTTTAATCCTGATTCTCACAGTGAACGACACAACGTTATCCGAATTTGCTGTTGGCGCGATTTAACGACCGCGTTTTGCTTTTCAGTTTTCCTCGGCTCAGTTCCTCTCTCTGAATATATACATGGAGATGCTTTCTCTCATTTTCATCTATTTGGAAGCAAACTTTATCATACAGTATCATTTGTGAGTAATTTTCTGAAGTATTTTTTTGATTTAGCTGAATAAAAAATTTTTTCTTATAAAGATAAAACAAACCATTTATGATATCCGTTTGATGATTCATTAACAACTAAATAGGATTCTCTAATGGTAACTCTAATAAGGGCAATCTATTGAGAATTTAAACTTGAAGTATAATTAATAAACGATCAGCCAAGATAACTCTCTTTATATAACATTAATGAGCTATTAATTAATCGACTCAACTAAAGATAATTTACTCTTAATTTTTTCAAGGATAAAAACTATTTTATATTTAATATTAAATAATATTTCATAAAATGTATAATACAGACATTTATTGTGAAGCAATATTTATTTTATCAGAATTGTGATAAAAGAAATGCTTATACAGGATTTGGAATAATATTTAAATCTTCTCGTTAAGTAAAAATAACAAAGAAACCTGAAAAAAGAATATGTATCATCATGATTGTCTGATTTATCAAGAATCACCCTTATTCATATAGAGGCGATTGGATTGAAAATCCCTTTGCAATATTCTGCGTGTAATTAGGGGGATGTCTTTCGTCACGATACGTGGATAATGAAACGAAAACAAGGCGAGATGTTGCCTGAGGGGGTTGGTTAGACCAACAGTATTGAGGGTGCAATACAGAGGGTAGAATACAGCATATAACCCCGCTTAAATTACGCAAGTTTGCCAGTTATATAATATTCTCTCTTTCGGCTACTGCGTTGAGGATTGATTATGTTTATCTTTCATTAGAAACACCGTCAGCTTTCTACTGGTCTCCCTATACCCTCTAAGTACGTGAATAATAAATTCTGTAATTCATTCCTCGCCTCATACTGTACTGTCAGTTTGTTCTAATTTTACCAACAGACATTCTCATGATTTATTATTAATATTAATTCAATAGAAAACTTCACAGTTAAAATTTTTAATCATTTAAAAATATTCCATCTAAAACATTACACCTAGCGACGTCTAGTGATTATTCATTTATCGACTGCTGCATTATCAAACGAGTAATCAGCTGATGGCGCCACTAGTATTGAATTTAAACTTGAAAAATGTCCGACAATTTATTGGAGTAATTAAAAAATAATTATCGCAATATTTTAAACAGATCTGATTTTTAATTGAGACTTTACGACATTTTTATCGTGCAATAAATGTTGGATTATAATTTGAAAAATTGCAGAGTGAAAAATGAACACATAAATGAGTAAAAGAACAAGGAATTAAACATTTCCGGTCTTTTAACTTGCACACTTCTTATTAGTGTCTTGTTTCATAAATATCTCTAAGATTCTTTCCCACAGGAGATAAAAATAATAATAATGTCATAACCACAACGAAATTAATTTTATTGGACCATTGAGGTCTTGAAATTCACGATATAATCGACAAATTATCTCACTCTCATCCCTTCTAATTCTCCCCTACTATACCATTTTACACGTGTGTTAAACATGCGTCTCGACATGCTTATCGCATTCCAAACAATGAATCATCTACTGCTCCTCTTTCCCTTTTTCTCCAACGATGGTTTATTATTTCTCATAATAACAATGACTTTAATTTCGCTTCCAGTCTGTTCAGGATTAAACAGGAAATGTCTAGGGATTGTTCCGGAAGTATTTAGTAGAAAAACGATTCTTCTGATAAATAAAAAAATAATGAAAAGATTTCTTTCGAAAGATTTTAAAAGTTTTATGTTAGTATTCTTTCTCATAAGAGTATTTAAACATTTTTTTTTCTGCTATAAAACCTCTTTTTAGAGCATCGACTACGATTTATCGGAATTTTTTTGACATACCTGCAGTTTAAAAATATCTTCTAATCTTCATTCGTCCATTTTTACGGCAAATGCGACCGTTGTGAATATAGCGGGCGTGTTTGGCCCTTCTCTGCAGTTTGTATCTATTAATATCAGTGGGTAAAATTAGTATAGAGTTCAATGGAGAAAGACGAGGGCACAAGACCACCGAATAACATAAAGATATTTGCAGTTATAATCATTCAATCGATTAATATTTTCTAGAAATGTATTATTTTATTATATTCCAAAAATAATCACCCATGTTTTTTTTATTGATAATCACATTTTTTAAATTAATTTTTTCAAATGTTTGTTCAGGATATGAATTAGTAATTTTATTGAAATAAAATAATGTAAAATGAAGAGAAGCGTAAGGTCAATAAAAATTTATCTTTTAGCAACTTTTTAAAATTTTTAGCAGTAAACTTTTATAGCAATAGTTAAGTATTTTTATATGTTTCCATGATATAAAAGTAGTCCAAGGATTCAATCCTCATTTAATCGTTTTTCGAAAAATTTTTATCTCCAACACATGCATCTTTCATTGGTTACATCCTGTTTTATGACTTCGTTTCCCTTGAATCGTTTTTACCACTCAACACATGACTACCAAGCTTTTTCTTTCGTCACGGTCTCTCGATTATTTCTCAAGACATTCAGGGGCATTTAGAAAAAATACCCTAAGAGAAATGTTGCGATACATCCATAGACTTTGCCCCACGTAAAAATTACCTGAATCTACCGATAATTTTCACGGTTTATTACAATCGTTTAAATCAATGTCAACACTCAACAGATTCAACTGATGTATTTTATCAACACAAAAATTAAGCCATATGTATTTTGGAGCAGATAACCTTTATCTCTGCATATGACTTGTCTCTGAGTAAAGAATATTATCCAAAACCTAGAGAGAAAGTTATTTATTTTAGTTGAAAATATTTTCCATGAGGAAAATATAAAATCCAAAGAGAAATTGTAACAATGATGCGAAAATAAATGTCAGTGCTTGAAAATATAGACAGGATTTTTTTTTAAATCAAAAAACTTTCATTGAAACGAAAATGAAGAAGACATGGAGATAACAACAAAGAGAATTCGGATCGTTGAGTTGAGAATTGACTTGCCAATCAATATGAGTAGAGCTAGTCTCCATAGACATGAGCACAGCTGGAGAAATCATTCGACTCAACGAATTGGATACTCTAGCTCGTACGTTCACTTGTCCAGTCACGAGATAGGATGATTGGTCGCGTTGATGAAACGTGATGAATCTTTATCTCTTTCTCGTCTCGAACACTTCGGGGTGACGATGATCCCAGGCATCAACTTGTCTACTTCCTGCCGTTATTTTACGCTCTTTTATCTTTTTTCTCTACTATCACAATTATTATATATTTTGTTCTATCTGTGCTGCTCTGTCAGCTAATCTATTACATGTAATTTTTCATCATATCAGACACAATAAAATTACTCATAATCATTTCAATAATATAACATGAAAGTAAACGAGATAATATAAATAATTTCATAGGGATAAAGTAGCAATATGATAAATTAATTAATAATTTTCAAGAATTGATTTTTAATTCGAAAGTTAAAACAGAAATTAATTAAAAGTTAATTGTTTTGTGTAAGTAAATAGTAAATATTGCATTAAACTGTAAGAAAAATTTTCAAAACTTGGAATACCGGTAAAAGTTGAGTAAATACGACATTTAAAAACCAACAGCTGCGAGGCAAGCCACCTCTTTGCCACTAGACTATATACTACTCCATTTGCTCGCTTCACATTCTTTATGAAATAGTTCCATGCTGGTTACGCCCTAAAATCAAGAATAACTTGTTTTATATGTTCATTGAACGTCAGATCGTGAAATTTCTTCCAATTTTGATAGTAATATCAATATTATTTTTCTACAATTATAAAAAAAATTTATTGTTAATAATCAGTAATGGAGAAAAATTATTTAGATGGTTCATAGGATGTCTTATCTTTAAAATAAAAAAAATGCATCTATATTCTTCGATCATAACGCTTTTATGTCTCACGAAGCAAATATATATATATATATACATATTTATTATAAAATTTATATCATTTCGTTCGTGAAAAATATAGTTCAAAAGCTTGACTTCGATATCATCGAGCGATTGAAATAACTACACTCACACAATCTGATGAAATTTACAATTGTTCATTAAAAAAATCTTTTCAATTTTATTCTATGTATAAATTAAACACTCGACACATCATTTATCGAGTCCTTTTGATGCTCTTTATCTAATCAATCACACGTCTCACTTCTCTTTAAAAGTATCTTCCAAATGCATGAGTCATTTATAAAAATATTTTCACTAAAAAAGTTGATCATTTTTACACATAAAAAACTGTATTGATAATAATTGTGAATTTCAAGATAAACACATTTTATCACAGGCAAGCTTGGCACGGATATGATGAACTGACATTTCATGTCCTAGCCCAATTAATAATATTTTCCTGGTCTGGTTTAATCGGAAGAGGTCGATTTGCCATTTTAGCTGGTGTTGATGAGGCTGCTGGCTCTGGAAGCTCGGAATAGAGATGGGTAGTGGCATCAGTTGGATCAGCATATTCACAAAATAATAAATCAACGTGTTGTTTATTCATCTTCCCTAAAATATTTTCTCCAAGACCTTTACAAAATGAATTAGACTTTTTATGACCAGCTCCATCGAACAGTGGAGTCTCTTGGTAAGGTTGTACATCATCTGGATACTTTCTCTCTCGTTTCTCACTAATAAGATGATCATTAACAACATCTGGTGGAAGAGGTTGAGGTGCTCGTCCGGCTGAAGCTGCCAGAATTGGTTGAGAAAGTCGACTTGTGCTAGGAACTGTTTCATCTCCAGGTAATTCAGCATACAGATGGTTTTGATCACTAGTTCTTTGATCTCTTGGCTCAGTATATTCTGCAATAGCAGGTCTAATAATCCTACTTTTTGGTAACAGCTTCTCCAATGAAGGAACTTTAGTTCCCATACTAACGGACGGTTTGGCAGTCTGTGTTCTTTTTGTTCTTGGAGCAATAACATCATAAGTATTTTCTTCTTGGAAAGAAAGTCTTCTTTCATTATTATTATTATTGTTACAACTCTCTTCAACTTTAATTAAGTCATAAAGATGTTCGATCATGTCTCTTGCTTGGCTGTAGTTATCAGGATCATTCAATTTCTCTCTCAGCTCTCTCAGGTAATCCTCAGTTAGCTCTTCTGGCAAAGTTTGCGTTGCTTTATTCTCAGTATAAGCAAATCCATCAGCTTCCAACTCATCTTGAGACGTCGTTTCGCCTTCAACATCTAAAATTCGTGTCTCTGGTCTTAAACCTGCATACTCATTTACGCTTAACCTTGAAATAGATCTCGCAGAAGTGGCAGCTGTCATTCCACTGGTTGGAGACAGCCAAGAGCTGGTGAAATTCATCAAGTGACTTGACGATAATTTAGGACAAACACCACGTCTTCGCATATATAGCACTCCAGATGCAATGATAACTGTGATGATAACAAAAACTGCAGCGACACAAAAAATAACGAAATATCTTTTTTCCCTTTCTTGATCTGCATCACCCATTTCTGCATCGAAGAAACTATTCTTTCTTGGATAAATGTGGGGTCCAACACTCGGAGGACTGACACTTGACGTTGGCTTATCTGATGGTTCTTTGCACGTTACTTCATCATTGTCATTGCAAATTGTGTTGGTAAAGTTTCGAATCTCTAAATAGCCTTGTGGAGCTTTTAAACATTTTTCCAACCATTCTCCAGCAATGCAGTAGCTAGATTTCATCATCCAAGATGCTGAAGAATTCTTTCCGGTGATTTCTCGCATCCAATCTTCCATCAGACAGTCACAGTTTTTTTCAAAATAATTGCTGCCAACACGAGCTACTTTTATGTTTGGATTTTCACTAACTGATGCGAATCTAAGAGATCCTTTTTCTGCATGTTTTATGCTATTTCCTCTGAATGAAAATCGAAGATTCGATGTTGTTTGAGCGACTTCTTCTGCAACAATGGCGTCTTCTTCAAGACTTACGAAAGAATTATAATCAATAGTAATTTCACTCCATTCTTTCAATATTATTGAATTTTTCTTAAGACTGTGAAACTCGTTATTATTGAAGGCAACTGTTGCTGCTGATATTTCAATCGCATTCGTTTCCATTTCATTGATTCTGAAACAAAACAAAAAATTATAACGATTTTTCCATGTATTTACTCTTTTTTTTAACTTTACAGTTGATGAGATTATATTGAAATCAAATGGAAGAAATATTTACCGAGAATACTGAATGGTAAAATTATTAAATCCAGCTTGGAAAGCTCCACTTTTAATAGTTTTTAATCTCACGTCAACAAGCTCGAAATTAGTGATGAGAGTTGCATGCCTGAATGCTCCAGACTCAATTTCGAGAATTGATGCATTGCTGATTTTAACAGTGTGAATCATAATAGCACAAAATGCATCTTTGCGTATTACTTTTGTCCAAACGTCATCTAATCGGATCTCGTCAGCAGCTGAGGGAAATACTGAACTGGGCAACTCCATTATTTTAACACTCTGGAACTCGATCTATAAATAAAATCATGTATTTAATAACATATAATATATCCTGAAAACATAAAGCTAAAGTTATTTGTTTCATTAAAAATAAATAAAATAAAAATCAACCTTTGTTGCTGGTCCATGTCGTCCAGATGGAGGTGCATCAAATTGAAAAGCATTACTGGAGAGTTCTAAAGTCGGCACTTCACGAATAGAAAACTTAAGAAGTCGGGAGAATGCGTTGGATTTGATATCAACATGTTTACACCTTGAAATGGAAACTGAGAGAGTTCCTCTTGCATTTTTGAATGCTTGTGACTCCAAGACGACTCGATTACATTCCGATACTTCTAAAAGTGGGTTTGGAGCACTGATATTATGAAAAGCTTGCGTTTTCGCGACTACACTGCGAATTCCTGTCACGTGAACTCTTTTTAGTTGAGCTCCGCCTGTAAAAGCGCCTGAGTGGATCCTCAGTTCACGACAGCGGGAGACAGAAACTTCTGAAGCGTCAGCTGGAATTATTCCTTCATGAAGTTCGACATCCTAAAAAAATATTTTGAATTATAATTTATATGCTTGAAAGTTGAGACCAATATTATTTAGTTAAATGACAGCAGCAAGTACTTGTTATGCTCCAAAAATATTGTACTTATTTGAAAGAATATGTTGAAAAGATCATTTTTATTTGAATAATTTTGCTAGCAAACTTATTCTATTTTTACTTGACATGAAATTGCAAAAACCAATTGTTTTGATTTAAAATACTAATAATATTCTCTACTCAATCAATAATTAAACTATTATTTAATAAAATATCTATTAACTCACAATAATATATTCCATGAATATCAATTAATTAGAGTGCTAAATTAAATGACATTCAATTTTAAGAGTAGATTATTTGATTCAGATCGTTCATATATTCATCAATATCAAGTCCATATTATTATTGAATGGAAATAAAAATTTAGTCAATCAAAAATTATTGATAAATACATTTTTTACACTTAATAAACATAGAAAAACATGACTTAATTTCAATAAAGTGAACTCATGATTGTATAGAGCAAATAATTAATGTCATGTTCCTGAGGAAGCAGTGTGTCATGTTTGTATCTGATTGACTCGCAGACGACAGTTATACCTTTTGCAGTAGCTTCCGGTAATGGCGGAGGCCCAACTTTATATTTATACTTTTGCATAAGCGCCAACTAGTCATACACATGCCTAAAACATGTCTATGTAGCGACAATTATTTTTGAAATTCCACTCAACCAGCAATCATATGCCAATTGAATTTGACAACAATCATAAAATAAAACTTTCAACAGGAATATCAAAACTCTCTAGAGTCACAGCTTGTTGATATAAATATAGATGAAACTATTTTTTTTTAAAAACAAAAATTTCGAAAATTTCTAGAGACGATCGTAAAACATTTACGTGAGAATTGAACGTGACCTCAGGGTTTAAAACTTCCTGCCTTTGACAATACGAAGAACATCATGTGTACCAAAGTGTTCTGAACTTTCAGAGGAAAGCTAAATAAATTGTTTAACTTAAAGCTCATAAGCTTAAGTCGGATAAAAATAAGACAAATAAATGCATAATTTATATTTAATTGTTTTTTAAATGTTACAAGAGGTAGCTAAGTTAGGAATGTATGGAAATGAAGGTCTACTCAGTTGTCTTTTGTGGTTAAAATTGTAACATGAATCTTGTGTCAACGTCATATGGCTTATGGATATCTATTTCTTCTTGTTTATCACATATAAAGAGTCACAATATGAATCCACGACTCGATTTTCAACCGTGACAAGTTCGCCTTGAGCCTTGAGACCTGTTAAATTTGAGCCATGAATTTTTTTCATTTACTTAATACTTATCAGAAATGTGAAATGGATACATTTTCAAAGATATTTTTGATGGATTAAATTTACCACCAGTAATAATTTCATTACTTATTGAAATTGAAAAAAAAACAAACCACAGTAACTTATTCGATAAATTCAAACAACGAAAAATACTGATTTATTAATAAATAATTTTTCTTTGAAATTAATCTGAATAAAAGGATAAGTGACTAAGAGTGTAATTTGATTTCTTTCTCTATAGCTTTTCGTACATCTTTCTGAGTCTCTAGAGACTTTAAGACGCGGTGTACTGTGACTCAGGGGGTTGGGGTGGCCCCGAACTATTTCTGCTCTTACTCGCTCTCAGCACAAAGAACATTTTGACTGGTGCAAATGCCTAACTTCATCAGCAAGGGAAAAATACCGTAAGATTTGCGATCGTAAATATTTTCCAAACATCCAGTTGACAGCGAAGAAGAAAATTGAATAAAAAAAGAAAATAAAATAATCAATAAGAAGTAAATCTGTTACAAATTTTAAAATACTGAGTACTGAAATGTAAAGCAAAATAAAATCTGTCAATCGGACAAACATTTGCGTCTTTTTAGTTCAATAGAAATGAATGAAATATCTTAGGGTAACAAAAAGACCGTGGGATCGTATTACATGGTCTGGAAAGGTTTTCTCCTCTCTTGGGGGCTTCCCTCGTCCCCGTTGTAACTCACCAAGGGGAGATTCTGAGGTCGGAGAACAGTTGGGGGTACGTTCAAGAGTTGAACCAAAGTGTCAGGACACACCTCCTAGTCGACATGGATTGTTAAAAATGTCGAAAATAAAAAATAAAAACAAAAAATTTAATCAAGTGAATCCTTGGTTATGCACTGAAGAAATAAATGAATAAATGAAGTTTGAAGGTAAAGGAGACCGGCCTCGAATTATGCAGGAACTGATCGAAGACCCGACGGTGGATAAATAATTGAGCAGGAAGGTGTGACGTGCATTGAATTGTTAAGACCGATCCCATCGTTTTCACACCAACATCTCTTTTCCTTTTTAATTTACCAGTCACGAATGGAGGCTAGATCTTCCATTTGATAGCTTTCCTTTTAATTAAACCTATTCATGCCTTGTGAATTTACTAACATTTATTTAATTACCGAGTTATTCATAAGTAAATAAACATTTTATATTTTTTTTTGCACTATTATCATACAAATTGATTGCAATTTTTATTTGTCTATTTATTTACTGCAATCATAAATCGAATTTTTTGAATACTAAAAAGTTTTTACAATTTTAAAATAATAAAAAAGCCAACGATTTGATTTGAAAAAAAATATAATATTCATAAAAGAAATTATGAAATTAGAACATATACTGAAAAAGTTATTTCATAAATTAAATTTATTATAATTGTTATTTCATCGAAGCAAAATATGAATGCTATTGGTAATGTGATGAAAATGTCATTTATTGAAATAAGATTAAAATACAATTTTAGTATCATATAATAAAATTTATATAATGAAATTATTTCAATGAAACAAAATTTAGTGGAAGAAAAAAAAATTGAAATATGATAAAGGGAGTTTATTTAACAAAGGATAAAATAATGAACTTGTGAAATTTAATGAGTTATAATTTTATTATACTCTATTGAAAAGTTATACAAAATGGACATTTTGATTAACAATTCAAAATTAATTAATCTGAAGATTAATAAATACAATTATTATTTTCATAATACAATATTACTCATCAAAGGTAAAATATTTTTGGAATAAGAGAAAGCTAAAAATAGATACCTAAACAAACTGCAGTGCAATTAACCAAAGATACATTTAGTGTTATCTCGATGATTCACTACTCCAAAAATGTTACGGACAGTTAGAGTATATTGACAAACAAACATAAGCAAGCGTTAAAATCAACATAAGTTTAGAGTCTAGACTAAAAACATAATAGGTTTCATGGTCAATGAACAAAAAAAAACAATTATTCACAGTCTGAAGAACATTAGGGAAGATTCTTTAGGAATGACATCTTTACACATACTTTTCAAAGACTTCGGAACATCAAATAAACAGCAGTACTCTAAAATGTAAATTTAAACTTTATCATAATGCGTTGAAAATCGTAAATAATTAAATAAAATGAGCTGTCTCTTTTCGCTGATTAGCAGAGAGCATAACGAGGCTGCTGAACACCGGAAGTTGATAGAAGAAATGTCGTGCACATATACTGGAGGTCGACGATGAAATTATTCTTCATCTCTCTCTTTTTTCTCGTCATTTATGTGTCTACTCTTATTCTCTTATTCGCTTTAGTACATGAACCCCGGCGGGTCAGGACGTGCTTGCAATAATTCGGTTAATTGGAATACACAGCAGTAAGAGAGATGCCGTGCAATTCTCTCGGCAGCATTCCGCGTGTTACGTGCACTTTCGGTTAGACGATTAGCGATTATTACTCATAATTTATCTAACAACATTTTTAAATTATTATGTAATTGCTATTCTATTCACTGTTTCGAAAAATTAATTTTTTTAAATTTAAAACAACGTTTTATCTAAGTAAGATAATGATTAAATAATTCTACTTGATATGAATTATAAATTAATGTTGATAAAATTAATAAAACAAAAATGATAAATATAAAAAATTGTAATAAATCATAATTTGCTTATTAAAATGAAATTAATTATTTTAAGAACAAGGTCATTATGGTCTATTTGATTAGATGCGTGGGTATTAATAGAGATATAACATATATTGGTGTTATGAATAGTAAGAAAACAAAATGGTACACTTTTATAATCTATCTTAGTATAATTACAGTTAATAAAGAAAATAATATATTTAGTTGCTGAATGGACAAAAAATATAATGACTAAAGTATTCTGAGTGAGCATGACTAATTTCCTGAACGAGTTTATGTACAGGTCATGAAATAGTATTGGTGTTGATGTAGTACATAGTAGACAAGAAGGAGCTGCGAGTATTCACGCGCATACATATCTTACAAAACCGATCTTTGCATTACACGTACGGTGCGAATGGCCTCGATCAGTCGATAGAGTTAAATGTTGCGACATTTCCTTTGAGTTTAAAAAATACTTATGTCAACGAAAAATCATTTATGGTAACATTAATATGTCACTATCTGACTTTTATGGAATGAGAAAAGAAGTTTGAGATAAAAATATTTAAATGACCATCAAAAACACGAGATTCAAAACAAGATTAGGCATCGAAATTGTGTAATGAGAATAGGCTGTTTTTTATTTAGACAGTTAATCAATTTTTATGTTGGAGGAAAAGTGAAGGAAAAATTTTTTTAGAAACAATCGTGAGTTGGATTACAAAATGTTTCTCGAAAAAAAATGTATAAAAAAGAGGTTGGGAAGCATTCAAAAGCTTTGAAGTATATAAAAAAAGACTCTTAAGGGTAGTAGTAACGAATCGAGTGTTTGTGACGAGAAACAGAAAAATTGACAGTATATAGTCTGTAAAACGAGTCTGGAGTGGATGATTCTATCAGCATTGCTGCACTGCAGGATGTAGCGTTACATTTCTACTACACGCCCTCATTGGACACTGAGAACTGTTCGATAGAAGAACCTATACGAGTAGTTTACTATTTGAAAACACACTTGCTACCTCCCAGTAAGCTATGTAGTCTTAGAATAATAATAATAGTGAGAAAATACTATCAAATATTATTGTTATTTAAAAAAAAACATTCCTCTCATCTGGAATTTCATTTTCAAAAGAGTTTTGATGGTGTACAGAATCTCCATACCCGCATCAAGACTACCTTTTAGACACAAATGATGCTCGGAGCTCGTTGAAAGAAACTATTGTTGATAAATTACATTTAAATAGCCAAGGCGTCTTTCATTCATACAGTTTTTAATCATTTCTAATTTATATTTTTATTGCAACAATGACTGACAAATTTTCAATACATTTAATAGAAGAAAAATGATTGTTATAATTTTAAAAAATGACTAAAGAAAATATGGATATTATTCATGAATTTTCATATATTTTTTTTCTTGTAACAAATTTTTAAAAAAACAAAATTCTATTTCTCTTTGATTGACTCTATTTGTAAAATAAACGAGAAATTATTTTATTTAAATTTTATTTTAAATTGATGAAAAACAAGAACCCAAAGAGAGTATAAAAATCCAATTATGTTTGTTGGAAAAATAGTTGAAAAAAAATACTTTATATTCAATGTTTACTAAAAGAATTTCTATTTTTTACTAAAGAAAATATTTTTATCTAATTAAGTCTCAATAATTGATTTTGAAAAAACAAATACTTTTTTTTAGAACCACTATTATTTTTTTGGAGTATAAATCAGTTGACACGAAAAAAAGTACACTCAATTGTCTGAAGAAAAAATTTTAAAGTCATTATAAAAAGAAAGTAGTAACGATATTTTTATAAGTATAGATGGTAAATAGAAAGAAAAATCAGTACAATAAATATCAACCGTGCAAAGCATGACAATGCTCCCTTCCTCTCCACCAATTCTCCCATGGTCTAGTGGCCCCTTCAGCCGGAAGTCCCGTTGAACGGAAGCCGACTAGGTTTGGCCCTTGAGTGTATGAGAATGAATTTTGTGGTTCCTTAAGCTCTTATAAACCCCCATAGATACTTCATCAGTCTACCACAATTTTTTCTATTCCTCCTTATGTTCATATGAATTAAAAGCTGATTATAAATATATTTACACCTTTATTCAATGCCACTAAGTTTTAATAGACTACTACCTGAATCACTTCCTGCGAGTCATAATTACTTTAATCGTTGGTCATTTATGGAATTGTATTGTCACCTTAGAACTCATAGGAATAATATGCATTTTCTCTACTTAAACAAACCAACAAAAGTTTTTTTTAATATTATTTTTATTTGTATGCTTCAATTACGTCAACCTAAGTCATAATTAGGGTCGAAAAAGAAAATTATTATTAATTGGATTTATTTCAGCAATTTAGCTTCGTTTATAATAAAGAAAACTCCAACTAGTTTACAAAAAATTATGAAAGTTTAATTGCTCTGTTTAAATTAATTTAAAAGTTGTCAAGATTTTTTTGGAGCAAAAATTAAAAAAATTAATTAAAATAACGAATAATCAGATTTATTAGTTTGATTATTTTTCATACGGAGACCATGGAAGTGAAAGAAAATCAACTGTTGCATCATCAATATATGTAGAGGCTTAGCAACCACATTAAATGATATCTTCCAATAAAACTTTCAATGAATGAATTAAAACAAGTAATTATTACATAAAACATCAAGAAAGTATTCATCAATGATTAACAATTGGTCCAGACAAAATTTCCAAGAAATTAATCAAAAATATTGAAAACTGAAGTTATTAAACAATTAATAAAAGAATATTTTTCTCTGCCAACAAATCAAAAGTACGATTAAAGAATTTAGTAGACACATAGAGTGTCACTTGTAACTTTAAATGGATCTAATGAATATGGTGATAAGTGACGCTGAATCTGATTCGATTAGGAAGTATTTTTATTCTCTATATATATAACACACCCTCTTCTCACATCGTTTAATTTTCTTTTTATTATTATTTATGCTATTTAATTCAAGATCTTTGCAAGCAATAGTGATAGTCATGTGGCAGTAGCCATATATACATATAATACGTCTTTTCTCCAATCAGGTTGTTCAACCAGTTTAGATATGATAAAAGAAAATATGATAACTTAACTCATGGAAGATAAAATTTTTTATTATCCTAGTCATTGAGTCATGCGGACACACACAAATGTTTAATGTCCCAACTCAAACATCTGATCTGTTTAATAAAAATGTGAAAATGTTTGAACACAATAAATTCCATCCAGAAACTTGATAAAAATGGATAGAAAAGAGTAGATAAATGAAGTTAAATTATGCATAAGTAAATATTAAATATATAAGCTATTGTAAAATTATAATATCAAGTTTAAGACTTCATTCATCTAGTGATAAATATTCAGAAACAATTCATGGTAAATAATAACTAACGAAGCGAAACGAGCATCAAGTGGGATGGGTTGTAACAACTGTTTCTCCCTTGCTTCTTAGCATCACAGTGACTCTCCGCAAAGCTGAAAGTCATTAAGTGGGTCGTGGATTAAATTATTATTAACCCTCTTGGAAAAGATAATCAAGTATTACTTCATTCAAAAACTTTCTTCAGTAGCTAGAGCATGAGAAAAAATTTCCAAACATTTTTCATCCATCATATTTAGCCTCTTTCTCCTGTCTGACAATAATAAAAGGTTGAGCAACTTCATACAGGTGAATCTGAAGGTGTTTTAATGCTATTACGGTAGTAAAACATATCAAAAACCTGTTTGAGAATATTTCAGGGAACAAGAGAATATCTGTCGGTATCTGAGAAAGTCTTGAATGGACATGGAGATGTGGAAGTTAAGTTTAGAACATAACAAGAACTAAGAGATAAATTACCAGGGATACCTTCTGGAAAGAATTTAAAATGCAATTTTTAAATATTCATTCACCTGATAGTCTGAGAAGATACACTTGACGTTAATCCAATGGTGAGCAACGATGGTACAATTACATCCGGGCATTGCACAAATGCCCACGGGTGAGGAATCTCCATTTACATGGTTCAGTTGTCCAAGGACTAAGATGGAGCACAATAAAAGCGAGTAAAGATTCACAACACTTGGTGGAAGCTTAAGAACACAAATCACTTTATTCTTCATGATTTTTGCTGACGTTGGATCAATATATTGATTGCTTGATCATTAGATCTTGGTAGGGTTATCCATTTCCATGATTATTTTGAGGCACATGCTTGAAAACCATTCGTAACACAAAGGAATAAACAATTTATGTAGAAAAGGGAATGAATAAAATATTTATGAGAAATTAAAATTCACTGTTTACGGATTCATCATGATTCGCAGCAGAAATAGCGGCAAGAGCATGAGTTCGCGATATCTCTTCATGGTTTGTGATGTTGAAGAGAAAGAAAAACAAAGCTTCGAGAAACAGAGAGGGGACCAAAAGAACTAAACAGGAGAGTTTAAATGAAGGGGACTAAAAAGCCAACTGACGTAGTCGTTACGAAGGTTGCTTTCGAACTGGCGAGAGTAGCATACGATCAAGGGTCCCCCACCTCTTCAAGTTTGCTCCCTCCAAACTGTTTAAGAGATAAAAGAGACGACGATCTCAGAAAACCGTGGCTAAACACAGGCCTTCTGACTTCTCTTTCTTTGAGATACCTACCATGCGATCTAGCTTGAGTGTCGCCTTCGCTCTTGGATCCACAAGTCAACCTTGACCAACTCCTAGGATTGATAAAATCACTACATAATTATTTGTAGCCTTTGTCGCTACTACTTAGACCTAAGGATCACTTTGAATTTTATTGGATTATTAAATAAAATATTTTCTGTACTTGAAACTTAACTTTTTCAAAGATTTTTATGATATAACGGATTTATCTGGTTTTATGTTAAGTATAGCAGCTAGAAAGCTACTTGAATTATAATTTTCATGAAAGTAAAATCAACTACATGTTCAAAATCTCAAGATTTAAAAGTTTTCAAACTTGGAATTCATTTATTTTCAAGAACTAGATCAATTCATAGAATGATCTCTAAACTTTCAACCTTTTTATTCAATTTTTTCGTAAAAGCAGATCTTGGCCACATTTTTCAATTTTCAAAATTATACTTGTACTATCATCAATAATTTAATTGATCGATTTTCATGCTGTCCACACATTATTTTCATATTTATATGTAATTAAAACCACAAGCCCCTATAATAAACTTGATAGATAATTTTATTTCCAATTAATAATGACCGGATATTTGATAATTTTGCTTCTACATTCAGCATATGGTACCTTAACATATACAATTACTAATCAATTATAAAAATTACAATAATTATTATTCATTTTTCTAATTGAAAAATTTTTTTCATGCTTTCAATTTAAAATTTTTATACATCAGTCGATAATGAATCTTTGTACCTTCATAATCTTCAAACAATTATCTGTATTCATAAACTAAAATTAAACTAATAGTCGAGCGTACCCCTGCTAACATGTAAGGCTATTACTGACAGCAAAATGATTGTTTTCTTGTAAGAAAGGAAGTTCTCTACAATCATAAACTGAGTTCACCAAGATCTCAGTAAGTACCAATTAAGGGTATTGAGAAGCTTGGAGAACTTGTTTTTAACAGACTGCTCATCTTTTTCCTGCACATAACTTAAGCCTAGATACCTGATCGTTTTGATCAGGCCAATGACTCTGTACAGTTCAAAACTCCATCTTAGTCGTTACAACTCGATAACAAAGTTAATTAAATGTTAACAATGCTATGACATGAATAAGTATTTATATAATAACGTATTTCATTGTATATAAATATTTTTACAGTTGTCATTCGAATGAGAGGCTGTTCCTCAGGGATTTTGTTGTTTGCTCGGCTGGAACGAGCGGAGGAAGATTTGCACGATGGCTTCAACCAGAAAGCTTTGTCGATCCATCTAAATGCGAAGCAATTTATGCTAAAGAAGATATGAAATGCGGCTGGCCTGCAATCGTAACTATTCTCACGAGAGATCAGTATGGAGAAGTGGTTCATGCTCCTGGGCTAAAGGTGAAAGATGAGTTTTTCTTGAAAAATGAGAATTCATTTATTTTGTTTAAATCTTTAATAACCTTCTAACATCATCACTAATTAAATAAATTGCTGAACGATTTTTTAAATTATATTCCTATGCTTGCATGCACTAAATCACTTGCTTTTAAAGTAATGAATTCAGTCTTCAAACAATCTCATAATAGACACATTAGTTATTAAAATAATTAAAGAACAAATGGACCTGTAATTTTGATTTATTTTCTATTCTAGATTGAAGTTAAAGCGGTACCAATTGAGAAGAAAGATATATCTGATGGAGATCAGGGAAGAAAAATACGAAGAATATCTCAATCTGACCCAATGACTTTTGGTGGTCATCCTCCTCCTCCTTTAGATATTCCTTATGAAGTTACAGTTAATAATAAAATGTGCTTTTATGCTATAACAATAATGCATCCTTATCAAAATTACTCTTTTGAAGAGTTAAGATTTATGTCTCCTATCGTTAAGCGATCAAGTGAAAGTATGTTAGTCAGGCCTAACGGTGATGGCAGTTATAGTGCAACCTGGACACCTTCTTCTGTTGGTTGGTACTCTTTGATGATTACGATTGATGGATACAGCATAGAAAATGTAAGAAAACTCATCACCCTTATAGAAAATAATATATATTGTGATAGGTTAATCAGTTAATTCTATAAATAAATCAATAGCTTGATTGATTATTTAAAAATAATTTGATTTATTTCAAAATAACTTTTCTTTATTGTAGAATTATAAAGTCGAGATAACAGAACTTCCCCAAGGAATGCATTCGTCAATGTCGAACATTTTGAAAAAACCACAACATCATCAAAACCGACATAGAAGATTCATTGGAAAAGATAGTGCAGGGTTAAGAATCCGATCACATCCTTCACTACAGAGTGAAGAGATTGGAATTGTACCAAACAATGGAACTATTACATTTATTGAAGAGGTACTATTATTATATTACATTTAAATCAATAACTCATGAATTGAAAGAGGTAATTATATTGAATTTCTTTCAACTTTCTAGGTTCACAATGACGATGGAGTTTGGTTGAGATTAAATTCAGAAACAATCAAAAATTATTGCAGTACAAATCCTTCAGAAGCTTGGTGTTTAGGATTTAATCAACATCTAGGAAAAAAATTATTAATTCCTCTAGATGACACGAAGCCTATAGAATCTGGAAGTAAAGAAATACCTTTAAGACGGCGAATTGAAGGAAATGACGAGTAATAAATAAATTCAACTTATTTCTTTTTAGTAGAATTATTTTAATTAACTTATTTATCTAGAGTGATTAAATCCATATAAACATGGTGATAGTACTAAAAAAAGTTTTTCAATTGTTCCAGAAAAAAGAAACCAACGACTGCGTTTGGAGATTGGGGTTGGACTGCAGTTAAAGGAGAAAGAACGATGGTAGTAACTAAAACTGGAGCCTCGTGCCATAATATAAGAAGTAGACCAAGTTTAAAAGCTGCTACTGTTGGAATGCTTGCTCTTGGAGATATAGTTACTATTGAAGAATATGTAAGTTATATTAAATTCCTTTATAGGAAACTGTTTAATAATTTTAATTATTATTAATCAATTTGATGGGTAATTCTAGTGGGTTAACTCAGATGGTACTTGGGTCCGGATTAGTGATGAATCTGCTGCAGAATATTGCTATAGTGATGGAGAAGCCTGGTCTTTAGCAATTGATAAGAATGGAGTAACTCGCATGAAAGTAAATCATGATGTCGAAATTGAACCACCAGAAAAACGAACTCCTTACGCTGTAGAAAATATTAAATCACCTGGAAAAGCTTTTGAATTTTCTACTCCTTCGGGTAGTCGTGAAGGATTTGTTTTTACAACTCCCAATTTTTCTGCTGGAATTGGTAGCGGAACCAGTGATCAATATGAAAGTACAAACCCATTTGTTTTCAAGTCTTTCAATCAAGGTTCACCGCGTAAGTATTTCTGTTTTATTAAAAAATAATTTAATCTGAGAATTCCATGTAAACTTTATATAATTAGCAATTTTTTTTTCACTTTCTAGGGAGTGAGAGAATAGTTTCCGAGAAAAGTGAAGTGTCGCCAAAGTATACGAGAACCCATTTGAAAGAGAGCGTGAAAGAAAATGAAAAAGAAGGTGGAAGTAAATTTAGTGTTCTTCAGAAATGGTTAAAGGGTGATGACAAAAATGATAGAAAGACGGTTGGCAGGTAAGAAAATAATCTCAGTTAATTAAGCAGTTGTCTGTGAAAGAGATAACTTTTCCGATAAAGTAATTGTGAAAAATAGACTGCTGTAATTACAAATATCAACATTAAATATTTTAGAGATTTTACGGAGTTCGTTGGTGTATCGGTGAAGGAGTTAGTAAAAGCAATTGGTGAAAGCAGAGCAAATGGGAATGGTGTTACACCACCAGAGACTCCTAGAAGATTATCGCGAAGTTCATCACCTAAAAATCCCCAAGGTGGGTCTCCAAGATTTCACAGCAGATCTTCTAGTCCAGTTCCTATACCTGGTACGTAAAAACACTTTTATTTTTACCATTCACAATCCTCTCCACGACTTCCATTTGTATAATAATTAAATTCATTCTTTTAATTTTTCTTATTCTTCGCTTGTTTCTAATAATTTCTTTCAGTTTTTGTACAAATCTTATTAATATTTTATTGCTGAATAATTTTATTAGATATAATATAACTAACAAAAATCAGTTGCTTAGAATAATATAATAATATAATATGTAGTGTTTTCTTTATAACTGCAAACGTTAATGTTGATCTTAGCTGGACCCAGCCGTCAACCAATTGGTTCTGGTAATTGTCTCTTTCCTCCTGTCGCTAACGTTCCAGGTACTTAATTTGCTGCCTTAAATTATAATGTTTTTTTTCGTTTTTTCGATACATCTAAACCTCCAATTTTCATATAATCAATTTTCAATAAACATTCATTATCATTCATTCCTTAGTATCATTTATATTAAAAAACATGATTAATTTGTACTTATAAATAATATTGAAAAATTGTGATATTTTTATGTATCGAAACACAATAATTGGTTTGCATGATTAATAGATGAAGAATTTCAAGCACTAAAAGTCATTTCTCTTACTCTTACACAATATGTAAATATTTATCTTTACTTGGAATGTATCAAAAGAGATGAGAGAATATTAGATTATAAAAAGATCATACATTACATTTTAAACTCCAACATTTAATAAAATCTTATTAGGTGGGAGAAGTTTGATTGAAGGGGGAGAGAGTGCTTGCAGCAGTCCTCTGCATTACGGCTCTCCCCGAAGCGTCGGCCTCTCCCCTTTAGGTAAGATCACAAATAGGAATTAATACTTGACAATTTATTGAACCCGTGGCTTTCATCATACTCTATTATACACAATGTACACATACATGCCTAAGAGCATCATGAATAATGATTATTAGATCCTCTTGTATCTAGACCAACCGCATGATCTATTATCGTTTAATTACCACAGAACATCCCTTATCATACTCATGTTCATCCCTTATAAAGTGTATAATTAATAATTTAATGTTCTTAATTTGCACGTTAGTTTCCTTCCTTTTTCCTTAAAAAACATCAAATTTTATCCGTTTTTTTTAAATTCAGTATAAAAAAAAATTAAAAAATTTATTCACTTCATTCAATTATTCACTTTTAAAAATATTAAACATTGACTTACGGAAAAAAATAATGAATGAATGATGAATATTTTCATTACATAAAAAATTTAAAAAATAGCTATTTAAACATTTTACGTGTTTAAAAGTATTTAATAATTGAAATAATTTAAAAATTAATAATCAATTATCTCGTAGAAAAAAGAAATAAATTAATGTTTTAATATTATAAAGTTTCAGGAGCAATGATGGATAGCGGAACATCTCATCGACGAGGATCAACTCAAAGTGACACAAGTGCCTTAGTTAGTAGCTTAACACGCGACCCATCTCAATCACCGAGTGGTATCAGTAGTACAGCAAACACTCGAGATATATCACCAAGCCCCAGCTGTAGTAGTCTACAGATGCGGTCAGAAGGCAGCATAACTAGTCCACCAGAAACACCACGAAGAGACCGAGAAGAACTTCTCGACACTCCGAAAAAGTTATCTGCTGTTCAAACCCAAACTAGTCCTGAAAGCATGACAACAGCAATGAAAGGACATTTTAGTATTGGCTCCTCAGGGACAAAAGACGATAGACAATCTCCAAAAGTAACTCGTAGAAATCATACAAAAGCTGTAAAAATTCGAACTAAACGTGCAATATCACCAGCAAATACTCAAACATTAAGTCCTTCAAGAACATCGAATCTGTCTAAAGAAAAAGTGAAAGAAGCTATCAGTCCATCTGTTGCTGAATGTTTGCGGGCAGTTTTTGCTGCATTTTTGTGGCATGAAGGCATTGTTCACGATGCTATGGCATGTGCTAGCTTCTTGAAATTCCATCCAAATCTTCCTAAAAATGGTGCTTTGGTAGTCACGAGACAACCTATGGTTCATTCCAATGATAAACAGAAAGAGGAAATGACGAGAGAACAACGAGCACGCCAAAGACATTCAGTAGAAGTAACAAATGCTGGTAATTATTTACATATTCAACCTAGCACTTTGGAAGCTTTGACGAGATCAGCGGCAGGAGCCAATGCAAATCGAAATCGTAAAAAGCAGGATTCTTCAATAAAAGAGGAGATAAATGGAAAACTTATGTCTTTACCAGAAACTCATACAGTTGCAATCCTCCCACCTGCATTAAAAAGTTTGGTATTCTTGTGGGAAGAAGTAAGTAGCAATTGTCTTCAAGCGATTGAACAACAGACTATTCTTCCCAGTCCTATTTCCCACTTCCACTTGTTGAAAACACCCAAAAAGTCAAACTTTGAGAAAGAAGTTGAAGAAATTAATGATTCAATAGACGTTAAAGATAAAGATGAAAAGACTAGTGATAAAGAAAATGATAAAAGAGTGCACAGAAGAAAAAAGGAATTTAATAGACTAGTAAGTAAACTCACATCGACAGAAACTACTAAAGAATTGGAGACAATGTGTGAGCTTTGTGGCCAAATGTTTCCACATCCAATTATTTACCACATGAAAATGATTCATCCAGGCTGTGGATGGCATTCTGGAGGTATGGGCTACAATAACGTCGGAAATTATTGCTCGGGATGGGCTGGAAATTGTGGAGATAGCGATTTTGGTGGTACCTGTTGGTATTTAATGTGTGATGCATGCAGAGATAATTACTTAAAAACATTGCGGTTCAAAAGTAGTAATAGAAAAATCGTTGGCAGTGTTTCCAGAAGAAGAGGAGTTAAACCTTTACTATCTCCTATTAATAGTCCTAATGGTAATGATTCTCATATAACAATAAAAAATAATGCAATGTTTTTACTAGATTTATCTAGTGCTGCTGGAGTAAGTATTCCTAAACAACAGAGAAGGCCATCACAAACACTATCATCAGTGGCAGAGAATAATAGTCCGCCAGAAACGATAGGACCATTTCCACCAACTGGACCTTTTCAATGTCTACAAGCGCTGGGTGTTCATTATTCCCAAAGCCATGAAGAAAGATACTATGAAGAAACTCTAAGACGTCAGAATGGTCAGCAGAGTTATTTTAATGGCAATAAATTTAATGCCACCAACGGAAGACCGTTATCCGAATGTCATATGAGTGATAGTGATGGAGATGGAGGGAAAATAAGAGGAGTTAGTACCTTTCACAGATCTGTATCCATGTCAACTGCACCCTGGGCAAAGAATAGTAATGATGGAAGAGTAGTAATGATGAGAAAAAGAAATAACAGTAGTAGTGAAATGAATTCCGAAGCTGGATCATCACTTCTTTGTTATCCTTCAGCAGCTCTTCAAAAATTAGTACCATCTATGGATCAATCTGCTATTGTTTCTTCAAATCAGGATGAACTTTGTTCCAATGATCGTATAGAAATTTTAACAAGACCAGTAATGCTTTTCGTGCTACAACAACATAATCTTCAACATCTTCAGTTAGCTATGAGACAAGCTTTGAGAAGAGCAGCTTGCAGAGTTTATGCAATGCAAGCCTTTAATTGGCTTTTAAGGAGTGTAACTCAACCTTTAGGCCTTCATGATCTTCTTTGGTGGTTTATGGCTTTTTTGACTCCAGTAACTGTCGAAACTGTAGCTGGAGATGAAGATATCCGAGATCGAAAAGAAGATCTTGATATGAGTGGTTTATATGAACATCCTTTGAGTGATTTAACGATTGCTGGAGAGGCTATTAATCCTCTTCCGTCGGCTTTTCATACTCTTCTTCAAACTATCGCTGATTTAATGCTCTTACCACCACCTGGTTCTCCACTACAGCAAGCAGCCGTTCAGTGCTGGGGAATTAAATTTACTTCAGCGGATCACATGTTTCTTCATCGAAGTCATGTGTTCAGTAATATTAGTAAAATATTATCTCGTTCGGAAGAAGAAGAAGACGTTACAATGAGCATGCATGAAAGTCATCAATCTACATATTCACAACAAATTACAACTAGTATTGAAGCTTTGAAAGATTTAACTCCTGGTATTGAAATTAAAGCGTCTAGTAGACAAGCTATGATTGGACACTTGACAGATAGTTCAACAGAAACTTTCTGGGAGTCTGGTGATGAAGACCGGAATAAAACGAAGACAATTGTTATTGTTTGTGGAGCTCGATCATTTCCAAGAATGATTTATGTTCATATCGACAATTGTCGTGATTTAACTCATAAAGTATCAAGTGTTACTTTTCAATCTGGTGTAAATGTTGATGAAATGGTGAAACTAAGAACAGTAGAAATTGAAAATCGGTCAGCAGGTTGGGTTAATTGTCCAGTCATTGATAGTAGGCATATAATTATTGGTTTAGAATTCAAAGGACCTGACAATTCACTTCGAGTTCGTCAGATTCGCATACTTGGTGAAATCGAAGGCGAGTCTTTGAAGATTGGGAAGCAGCTGAGTACTGCGACAATTCAGAAGAAGAACTGTGAAGCAGAAACTTTGAAAGTTTTCCGTTTAATCACGTCGCAAGTTTTTGGAAAGTTAATCCAAGGAGAGAAAGCACAGCAGCAGTTACAAAGAGAGAGCGCCGAAACGAGTAATAATGAACTCGAAGATAGTAATGACCTCAGAGAGCACATGGTTGGAATTTTATTTAGTAGAAGTAAATTATCGCATTTACAAAAGCAAGTTTGTGCTCACATAGTTCAAGCAATTAGAAAAGAAACAATACGACTACGAGAGGAATGGGAAGCTTCTCTATTGTCACCAACACCCGCAAATAGTGTGCTAAGTGACTCTAGTGATCTTCCGAAGGCTTCAGATACTTATTGCTTCGAAATGCTGTCAATGGTTTTAGCCTTAAGTGGCAGTTCAGTTGGTAGGAATTATCTTTCTTCTCAGTACGGCTTAATTAAAGACATTCTAAGTCTTCTACACACAGGATCAGCTCGAGTTCAACGTCAAGTAACTTCACTTCTCAGGAGAATTTTACCAGAAATAAAACCAGAAAACTTAGCAAACGTACTTGGCCTTGAAAAATTACCCCCATCGGATTTCAGTATTGTAGCAACAGCAAACGGTTACTCCCAATTATCTAGTTTCAATGAAAATGCCATAGGAATTTTAGACGTATTTTTAAGCTGTATAGCTAAGACTCTGGTAGTCCAAGTTAAGATAAAAGGAAAAGAAAGTAACGGAAAAGCTCTTCAAACAGTTTCGTTGGGAGTGAGTATCGACCCAAAAAATTTTGCTGGTTCAAGATGGTGTCTAAAAGGTCATATGAATAAAAAACTAGCTGAAGTAATTATTCAGCTATTAAAAGACATGGGTTCTGGAAAATTATCGGAAACTTGGGCTGCAGTAACGAAAGCTGCGATAGCTGAGAACATTCTTAATCTCACCAGATTAGATGAGAAACGTCGAGAGCCTACTGAGTGTCTTAAAACTTCTACATTATGGTTAGCATTAGCTTCTCTATGTGTTCTTGATTCTGACCATGTGGAAAGGTTATCATCTGGACAGTGGAATACAATGGATGGACAACCACCTCCACCGAGACCTACCTGTAGTAATCATGATGACGATGAAACAACTGCAATAATTCAGTGCAATGTCTGCGGTAATTTATGCGCTGATTGTGATCGTGTATTACATCTTCATCGAAGAACAAGAGTTCATGTTAGACAGGTCTGTAAAGAGGAAGAAGAAGCAATCAGAGTAGACCTTCATGAAGGCTGTGGACGAACAAAACTTTTCTGGGTGCTTCTACTCGCTGATAGTCAAACTTTGAAAGCTCTAGTAGAATTCCGCGATGGTGCAACGAGAAAACCAACTGTTGGTACATCCGGAGTCTGCAGATTCTGCGGAACTACTGATAACACGGGGCTCCTAGCTATTGGAAATGTTTGTTCAGATCATGATTGTCAAGAACATGCTAAAAATGCCTGCAGTAAAATTCACAACTGTGGACATATCTGTGGAGGAGTAAGGAGTGAAAAGACATGCTTGCCTTGTCTACACAGATGCGCGCCAGGAAATGATTTAAAACAGGACGCTGATGACATGTGTATGATTTGTTTTACTGAAGCATTATCATGTGCTCCAGCAATTCAGCTACAATGTGGACATGTGTTCCACCTTCATTGCTGTAGAAATGTATTGTCAAAGAGATGGGTTGGGCCTAGAATTACTTTTGGCTTTTCCTTGTGTCCAATTTGCAAGGTTCCGATGGAGCATTCGACTTTGGAAGAACATTTGATGAGTATTCAAGATCTGTATGCTGATGTAAAGAGAAAAGCTTTGATGCGGTTGGAATATGAAGGTTTACACAAGTGAGTTGTCATTTTATTATAACTGATTTTTTCAAATCATATTTATTTGCATTACTACAATATGCTAAAACAGTTATTTTATGAATATTTTTTTTTGTTTCATCAGGGCTGAAGCTGTTATCACACCAGGTGGTCGTTATTACAAAGACCCAGCTGCATATGCGATGGACCGTTATGCATATTACGTTTGTTATAAATGCCAAAAGGCCTACTATGGTGGTGAAGCGCGATGTGACGTCCAACTTGGTGGAGAATCATTTGATCCCACTGAGTTGGTCTGTGGTGCTTGCAGCGACGTGGCAAGGGCTCAGATGTGTCCCAAACATGGAACTGACTTTCTCGAGTATAAATGTCGATACTGTTGCTCGACAGCAGTCTTTTTCTGCTTTGGTACTACTCACTTCTGTAACCCCTGCCACGACGACTTTCAAAGAGTTACCAATATACCAAAGAATGAACTTCCTTCATGTCCTGCAGGTGATTTGTATTTCTTATATTCATTCAAATTCATTCATGAATAAATTTTACATATTATTATTGTTTTTTATTATGTTCATAAATTTAATTTTTTAATATTTTCAGGACCACGAGCGAAACAATTGGAAGGTGAAGAGTGTCCTTTACACGTGAAACATCCACCCACTGGTGAAGAATTCGCTCTGGGCTGTGGAATTTGTCGGAACGCACACACCTTTTGAAGAGGAATTTCTACCAGAGACAATTTTTATTCTACAAAATACATAAAATTTGAAAACAACTCAAAGATTTTACTGTGACCATTGCGATAATGAACAAAGCATTGCGATAGAATTGAGATGCGTTATGATATTACTGATAAATGCATAGAAATTAAATAAAAAGAATTAATCTAAGTTATAGATTAAGATTGAGTGTTAGCAATGACCATGAGTGTATTTTTGTTTGAAGTTTCAAATTGAGAATGAATTTAAATGGTAGTTACGTCATTTTTTAATGACAGTAGGATGAATTGAGTGAGTGTAATGATTAATTATTTATATAAAAATTATTATTAATAATATCAATAATGAGATATCTCAGTGTCTGTGTATAAATTACCGTTTTTTAACAAAAAGAAAAACCAAAAAAATGCAGTTTTTCTTTAAAATGAGAAAAAAGAATAATTGTATTATGTCTGTATGTATAATTATTATTGAAATAAACTAATTACGGTTTATTGATTATGGTATAATAATGAAAGACCATTTGTTCAACAAATGAATTACGCAAGTTTAACTATGGCCATAAAAGCTGATTAGATTTATTATATATAATTTATGAATGTGATTATACTTTTCAAGACTTTCAAGCCACACAAATGCAAGAGAATGGGAGAATCTTTTAGCATTTAGTTATATGAATTTTTTTTCATACTTTTTCATATAAATTATAAGAACTTATAAAACGCTTAATCGAATTATTGTTTATGATTGTTATTATCATAAAACATCGTACTGCATTAGAAAAGCTGCTATAATCTTTTTTTAAGGATATTAGCAAGATTGACAAATAACAACTTATTAAGTTCTTATTGTCGTCCTAAATATAATTTGACACTGAAAGGTTTATTGTCCTGTCAGTGAGTTATATTGCAACCATCATTAAAAAAATAAATTAAACGATTATTTATTTGTAAGTAATGTATTAGAATGTAATTAATTCATATATTTAAATGAATGCAATATTTTATTTGTAATTTTTCGATTCACCGCTTATGTTGTTTCAATGATTAAATAATTGAATTTATAAATTATAAAAAAAATGGTTTTGATTATTTTATACACACTTTATTTATTTAGAAATAAAAATATTTATTTAAGTCTTCCTTATCCATGAGAGAATTTTTAGTTTAATAGAAGAATTTTAATTTTGAAAACCAATATTTTTCATGAAAACATTTTTTAACTAAATAGTACTTTCCCGCAATAAAAGGTGGCGCAGCAAAACGGCGACTGCAGTGCTCCAGTGATTTTTTTGTAAACTTCCAGGCAAAGCGTGTGTGGTTGTGTGTGTTTCGAACTTGACGTTTTTTTTCTTCAATCAGCGGTAAGTACTCTTTATTTACGTAGTGTTTAACAAATGTTACATCATTATCATGTTTACAATACTACTAAACTGTCAGTAAATGCTTTTTTATTCAAGCATCTCATTATCGTTTGATTCTGTAGCTCATCTAAATAATCCTAACCGCCATACACTTATGAGTTTTACAACCCTCCTGTCATCTATTTATTGTTATCATTTATTTCACTTCATTAACTCCTATTCTTCCCCTAATTGAGTTTATTTTGAGTGTATCTTCGAATTTTCATCTACAAATATTTCCTTATAGACATATTCACTCAAAAAATAACCTCAACTTTATGCTCAACCATCCAGGGTTAATTTTTTTCCTATATAAATATCTTACGACGAGATTTCCCACATACTATTTTATTTTTAATCCATAATAACATTTTTTATTTAGAGAGTACTTTCATTGGACTTTCATCTATCGTGTTTTGATAATATTTATTAAAAACTACAGCATCAATCATGGTTTAGAAAACTTGATTATTGACACAAATAATCAATAAATTTAAAAAATTTTGACATTGAAATAATTTTTGATTATTAGTGAATTTTCTTTGAGTTTGAAACAGCTTTTTATTTTTATTTTAGCACAATTCTTTGCATTTCTATTAACAGTAATTGAATTAGTTTTGATAATGAAGTCAATTGGCTCAAGCTTTTATTCATGATTCTAAAAATAATTGTTGTTTTCGTTAAAATATTCTTCAATTATACTTTCTTTTATCAACAAATACTCTAATGATAAATCAACCATTTTTCTGTGATGAATTAAGGGTAATCACGCTTTTCTTTTGATCTGATCATCTTACATAAATTGATGCAATTGTTATAAAGTATAAATTAGTTTTATAATAAAAAAATTGAACAATGTGTATTAAATTGTTCGTTGATTAATCTAAAACGAAGATAAATTGAAAATTATTTCATCAATTTGTATGAATGTTAATTGATTATAATTGGATTTATTATCAATTGATGATTATTAATTTTCCATAAGAAAACAAATGAAAAAAAAACAATCATAGGACATGAAAGAATGTCATACCGTTATTTAACTGAACAAATATTCTACACACGATCAAGTTTCATGATTAATAATTCAATATTGCAAGTCTTTAGTCACATAGTCTGAGTTTTTGTGTGGTACAGAATAAGACCGGTTGATCAGCAAAAAAAATTATCATCCAACTAGTATCGTCTTCTCCGTTGTCTTTCAGTTAACTTTGGACCACTCAGTACAGTACTAAACTGGTTTTCTGCATAACATGTGTAAAACATACCATTAAATTCCATAAAGAAGTAAATATTATGCTAATTTAAATTTTGCTTACAAAAGAATTACAATCTGCTACATGAAAGCATCATAAATATATAATAACATCATCCGTTTTCGAGGTCTTCATTTGACCTGCCATTTCATCCCTATTCAAAGTAAATATAGAGCACTGAATGCAATGTAATGATACAAGTGTAGATGCATCAGACTGGCGAGACAGATGGAGCCGGCTGTTGTTCATCGACTACTTGATCTTCATTTCATCTTAAATTACTCCAAAACGGTAGACAAGTAAAAGAACCTGTTTTCGGTCGAATGATCATCTTCATACCGTTACTTTTTTCACGCTCGAAATTCGAACTCACTCTCAGTGAGTATGAACTTACAATTTATTTTATTTGATGATTATTGCTGACAATAATCATCATTTATTGACTCGATTATTCATTGAATCTAATTGCTATGCTGTTTAATAGCTCATCAAAAATTTATTCTTCAATATTAAGTACTCATTAATGAATTTTTACAATATTTTTACTCATTAAATTTTCTTAAATATTTTATTTATGAAAAAAAACTATCACCACGCATCAGCTAAGTTTATATCTGACTAGAATAAGTTTAAATTATGTCTTTAACTGGTTATCTTTTGATTATGTAAGCAAGTTGTGATGATGATGGGTAGCTTTTAAGCTCAGGTTACTTGATTACACATTCTCTTTTTTATCATTATTAAATATTGCTAGAAAACTCTAAATATAATATCACTTTTGCGACTCTAAGATGAGTTAGTCTCTATTATTCCCATAAAATGTTAGCTGACAAGCTGCATTAAAATTCTTCAAATGTATCCAGTTATATCTCATATTAAATTTATAGCAGAAGAGTTACATTTGGTCTCACATCGTTGGCATGTAGCACATGAGTAAATTTGAGTCTAAGACTTCTTCATCTTCTTCTTCCTCCTCTTATTTTGTTGGTAATTAAATGTCTCATTTGTGCACAGTTACCATTAATTCTTCTCTTTATCTCAAATAATATATAACACTTGATCTTTTCTAATTAATTAAAGGCTCTATTTAATTCTGTCTTCGTCTAAATACTATTATTGCTTATCAAATCATTTGATGACAAAGTTTTTTTTTACAAAATGTTGATTATAAATTTGATTATTAATTTAATATTTTTAATGTGGTATTAATACAAGAAATTTATTATTAATGTAAATTATTTAATTCAATTAACTTTTACAAACAGAAATTAATTATCTCTACTTTTACTATAGAAATTAAAATTTGAATAATTAATAAATTAATTAATAAAAATTTTATCAGACAGAAATGGCTTTTTAAAGATGATAATCAACAAAAACATATTTTAATCTTCCTTTTTAGCATACTTTTTTTTTCATGAGCTTTTTACTGTAATCTCAGTTATACTAATTGAATAATTTTAAAAAATTCCGATAAGTTGATACGAAAGCGTTTGTATATAAAAATGATGATGATGATGGTAGTACATATTTAAATAAACACTAGAGTGTTACATCGCATTTAGACTGTGACTTTTATAACGCGAATCATATTATGAAAGGTTGCCGAAGTATTTGAGGGGAGAATGAAGTAAAGGAAGGACCGAGTCCACGCGGGCGTCCACCATCCGTGAAGGAGATTAACGACCTTTTAATTGCCAACGCTCAGAGTCTCCTATCCACTGTAACATCGTCCCTTGGTTTCGTTTTTATTTGTTTATTTTCTGAGATCGATCATCTGATGCACGCTTTTGATGTTGCTATAAATTTCTGTCTTTCTAGTTTAATTAAACATTCAATCAACTTTATTTTTATTAGAAAAAAAAAACTTCTATAATATTGTTTCTCTTGTCCAGAGCTCTTTTATTCAATGAATGAATTTATTATTGTTGAGTTTATTCGATAATTATCCGTGTAATAATTTTCACCGTCATAATCATTAATAATTTTATGATGCTAATTTGCTGATGTCATTTGGAATGAACTCATAACCATTTTCAGAATTATTTTATGATGAAAATTATAATTCATTATCAAATTTAATATGCAATTTTTTTTAACATTTATGGAATTTTTTATTAATTTTCAAGTCTAATCTCTAATCAATTTTTTCATTAAAAGTATTTATTTTCATTCAACTTAATTTTAATTTTTATCCAATTTTCGTGTAATGCTTCTACCGTTAGATAAACTTTTTTTAAAACCATTTATTCACGTATTTAAACTGAGCAGTTTAAACTTTTTTTTTAACTTTAGATTTTTTTTTAGTACTTTTTAATAAAAAAGCTCTCTATTTCTATCTTAATCAAACTATTCTAAAAAAAATTCATATTCAATTACTTGGTTCATTTTTTCGAGTCAAAAAATTTTGTTATATATGTTTTACCTCCCATCAATTTTATTTTGAAAATTGAAAAAAATTCAATATTGAGGAATTTTATTGAATTAAAATTCAATTACAAGCACATGTGTAGCCCGGAAATTGAAAGTCCGAACAATTTCGAGTTAGACTGATGAATTCAAGTTGAGTATAGAGATGGAGAAATTGCTAGCAATAGTATAATTTTACACAAGTTATATAAATAAAGTAGTAAGAATAATCATGTCGTACTGTGTGGAATGGGCAGTCGTGTAGATTTTATTGGCTTTTATTTTATTTAACTGCAACATCGAGCACGTTGTGAATCCCTCTTATATGTCGGGTAGATATAGAAGAGACAGGATGAAGAAGAAAAAGCTAAGGTAGAAAGAAGCTCCTCTTCTCCACCACTTCACCGCTTAGCTCTTGAGTTTTGCAAGGTGAACGCGCCGTATGTGTCTGCACATTCAAGCCTCAGTTTCATTCGTAGCTCCTTGTACTCCAGACCGCGAGTGCAATTGCAATTTGTCAATAAATCATGACTAAATATTTTTATAATCATTCAAGTCAGTTAAAAAGCTCAAACAATTAAGTGAATATTTTTTCGTCAATTGGAAAATTAATTTTGAAAATTGTTCCAAGTTTTTTCTGTTGAATTTTTATACTGAAGAGATTTAAAGTGCAAAGAATGTCTAAAGCAACATCTGTGTGATTTATTAAGTCTTCATCAACTTGAGTTTAATAACAACAATCATTGTTTAAGAATCAATATAATTTAATCAATGATTTAAGTAGGGGTTTTAAACATAAGATATGGGATTTAATTTACATCAGGATGGTTGTGGTAACGTCATCAGAAGTTGCAGTTGTTGAGGATTTCTCAAAGGATACTCTTGGGAGGTAAGAAGAGAAACTTATCTAAAAGTCTGTCACATAAATTGACACTAAGAAAATTCATTCTTGTCGGGTTTGTTATGAAAAACACTGGATCATCATGATGGAGATTGTCTGTAGGTACTTACTTTCAGGTCGGAGAAATCCGTCTTCAGGGTATGTCTTATGGTATTATATTAATGAATAGTGTGTAGGAAGAATCAGTAATATTGATGATGGAATGGGCCTACTTGAGTCCATTTACTCTTTCATCATATTGCAAATCGAATGCAACATGTTTTCAATTTAATCAGTGTTTTATAAAACAGGAATTTAGATTTTTTTTTATTTTTCACTTAAGTATTAGTTTGGTTAATGAATAGGTGATCGATGTATCGATTTAAAACTTGACTTTATTATGTGCATTTATTTATTGATAGTTGATTATAATTATTTATGATAAAAATACAATTTGTCATGGTTGAAAAATGCTTTAGATGTTCTTTTTACAAATTATTTCATTTATTTGGATGTATAAATTTGGAGTAACTGTAATTCTGTGTATTAATTTTCATTTAATTATTTTAGATTGATTGTTGAGTCTATAAATACAGTAACTAAAGATGATGATGAAGAAATAAAAATTCCAAAGTATTCAAACAAAACCGGATTTTTTAAATAAATATATTTATTTATAGTAATAATAATAATAATTTGTTATTTGAATAATTTATTAAAATTATTATCTAAACTAGATAAATATAAGTGAAGATGTACATACAGTCAATTACGAAAGTCCTCTAGGCCGGAACGAACGTTGCACCAGGAGCTAAAACATCTCAGCGTGTCGGTTCTCATATAAGCTCACTATGCCCCAGATTTAATTTTTCGTCAATTTTATAGTCCATTTACGTTCTATACCTTTTTTTTTAACGAAAATTTCTAGACCTTTACCTTTTTTCCAATCAACTTATTTTGTTGGTTTTAATTCAAATTCATTATCTTGAAAGACGACTAAATAAATTAATCAATGATTTAGAAAATTTATTACAACAACTTAATGTAATTATTCACTTCAAGTGCAAATGTATAGAACTATAAGGGTTATAAAAATTGATTTTACAAAGTGTATGTAATGGTGAGGATGAACAAGTTCATGGACAGGTTACAACTTTGCTGGACCAGTCCTTACTTTACACTCTCCATTACTGTATATATATATTTTCTGTCTTCCTTAACCCAAGAATTAGTAAACATTGACAGATGTGCAAACTTGAAAGTAGTTATCCGTTTAGTTGAATCAGTTATTTTAAATGAATTTAAATAGTTTGAACATTAGCTAAAACTATTTCAACATTTAAATAGTTTTTATCAATAAAATTTTTTTATTTTCCCTATCATTAATTATTTTTTTTAGAAAAGCGTTTTCTTCAAGCCATTTTTTATTATTAACTAGAAAATATGTTATTCACTTATTTATTGATAAATATAAATTAAACGGATCATAATATACCTATAAAAGTAAATTAGAAATATATCTATATTTATTGATAATGTGAAAGCATAATTTCACTCAATTTCGCAAACAACTTCAATAAGTAAAATTAGGTCATAATCAATTTTCTGTCGCGTGAAAATGATTTATACTTAATTAAATAAAAGAAAAAATATATATTATTAAGAAGTAAAAAATTTTTTTACAAGATATTTTTTAAAAATACATTACTCTCATGGTTTATGCATTTCTAGAAAGATTCACAACCGTTTCGAAATCTCACGTGAGTCTAAACGAGAGTCCGTTACCGCAATCTCATACGTAAGGTCTTGGTGAATGTCAGGGTCTTTGTCATTGTCATTTATACGGAGTTGTGGCACGCGAAAAATAATTTATTGAAGATTTTTCAAACTAAAATCAAGTCATGCTCACATTAGAGATAATGTATGATAACAAGATAAATTAGATATCAAAGGAGGTCTGGAAAAGCGTAAAAAATGTGAAAAATGTGTGTCTAATGATAGATAATAAGTCATTGTGAGCTTTTTATCAACTCAGTGTGAATAGAGAGATGAGATTTAAAGATCGATCATCCTCGTGAGTTCGAGTTGCGTCACGCGAATTTTGGGGAGGTTCGATGCCCATCCAGCGCCGCGACGCTTTTCAGAAGACGAGAGTTAACGTAAGAGAAAGAGAGAACGGTCAGTATACCGCGTGAGTGCGGTCTGAGCACGTGTTTCCGGTTGTGGTTCAGTTATCTTCTTTTTTTATCAACTCCAGCTATTTCATTTATTTTCTTTCTACTCGACTAATGGTGATTTAGTGAATTTTGTTTATTAGTTTTTTGGGTCGTGAATGTTGGAATTTAAGAAGCACAAAAATTTCCGAAATAAGAATCGGTAAAAATGCCAAAATTATTTATTTAACAATTTTGTATTTCTTTATGACAAAAACATTTTTTTAAACACTATTCTAATCACAAAATTATCTGCATGAAATTTCTCAAATAATTTTATTTCTTTTATTGATCATTATCTTCTTATTCACAAGTGTTTCTTTAGACATATTTATATAAAATACAAAAGTTTAATTAATTACAAGAATGAGATAACTATTTTTTCAGTTTAATTAAATAAATTAACTTAAAAGCCCTTAGAATAAAAAAAAGTCCTTAATATTTTTCTTCTTAACACTTAATTCTATTTGATATAATTTTTCTTAATGACTTAAAAAAGCTTCTCGAACTAATTTTTGAAATGTTGTAACTTATTAACTATATAAATGTCAGTGTATAATGTAATGGATGTAACATAATATGTTTAAGACAAAAAGATGCGTGTTTTTTTTAATTAAAAGCGTTCGATGCCGTGACGGAGTAAAGAAAAATGAATGAAAATCACCGTTATAATCAACTTTATTATTAAAACCTGTCTGTTCGTATTATTTCCTCATTAAACACATTATCATCACTAAAATAGAATTTATTTGAGGAATGTCTTTTTCTTTAATTTCTATTTCCGGTGTACTTTTTCGCAGATTCATTCATCAAATATTTCTATAATGTATTTCAAATGGAAGTGATGAGTAGTATAAAGCAGAAATATAAGAATAAAATACTCGTTGATGCATAGTAACGAAAAATTTCAGCGTGTTTAATCTCTCTTTAATCTCTAACCCTCCAGCTCATACTTCATGTCTGGGCTTGCTCTAGCATGTGAGGAATCGAAGTACACTTTGGTTGAATATTAATGACACCCATTGTAGCACCCAGTTTACTATCCGACAAATTAAACTGTCCGCAAGGAGAAAGGAGAAAAAAATCCTTAGACAATCATGAATCATTTCTCCCTTGTAATAAATAAAAATAAAAAAAAAGAAAGGCTCACAATTCTCAGGGATTTTTTTCTGGAATAATTCCTTGGGGTTTAAGGTAAAGAAAAATTGTACTTCTTAACAGTCTACCCTTTGTTCAATTTTTTTCATAGCTTTCCTCATCTCTATCATAAACTTTGAACGAAAAAAATATTTACTGCTTTAATATAACATGAATGTCTGGCAGTTTTATGGAATATTATTTGTCTATTGTCATCTTCAAACCTTTTTTATAAATATTATTTTTGCAATCAATATATTATATTACCAGGAAATAATACTTCTATATGAATTTATTAATTAGTGAATTCATTACTCTTTTGATTCTATTTATTTATTAATTAAATCACAAACAACTCACAAACTTCATCTGCTCCTAATGAATATTTTAATTAATTACTGATGTTGAATACTTGTTTTTTAAAAGCTATTTAGAAAATAGGTGGACATGTTCCCATAGAAAATGTTAACAAATGTATACCATAGTTTCATGAAAATGTTTAAAAAATAAAAATAGATGGTAGAAGTTTCCCATTTGCTTGAGCAAACTAGGAGTCGAATAGCGAGTGTTTCACTAGCCTTCTTCCCTCAAGGGTCAAAGGTGCGACGTTTCAATGGGACCATTAGAAGTATGTAATGGATCTCTTTCGTGAATCTACGATCAAGAAAAAAGTTGTATCATTTTATGGAAAATGTTTAATAGCATGTGGGAATTTTTTTCCATAAATCCTTTTTTTTTACTCCATAAATTGAATTTTTTCTCTCAGGCGTACAAAGTATTAGAGGCTGCGGTAAATGAGTAGAAAATTGTTGGGGAATTGAGGAAATGTGAGGAGATTTTTATAAGATACGCATCGTAGAATCTGTATATCCTACAGGCAAGGTTATTTGCTTATTTTTCCAATATCAAAAATTGAAAAATCTTGAAATGATTTTGTTGTAACCTGGAGGCCATACCATGCTCTATAAATTATCACGTGAAGTAATTTTAGTATTAAACTAATTAAAATCATTTATCATTAACCAATCCTTTTCTTTTTTTTCTTCTTCAAATTTGTCCCTTGTCTTATTTAATCCCAGGGATTTATTCGGTTCATTTAATCTCAAAGATAAATTACTGACAATCGAATTATTCTCAAAGTTCAGTTGACTGGTTGTTAACACTAGTATTTCATTTCATTTCACCCCGAAATACCAAGTTTTTTCGATGTATCAATTCTTAGCACGTAATTTTTCCAATTCTTTAATGGAATTGTTTCTAACTACTTTTTCTTATTTTTAGTTGAGTTAGAAATGTTGTAAACAACTAGAAATGTTTATTAATAAGTTAATTATTATAAAAAATTATATAAATGATTATTTATTATTCATTGCTCTAATTATCACCAGTGGACGGAATTCGATAAGGATTTTAATGACGTTACATCATCAATAATAAATATAGTACGAACAAAACATAGAAATGGACCAACTTAATTACACTATGTGAAAATATTTGCACATTGGAATGTGGATGACAATAATAACATAACATAAACAATAAATTGATGAAGTATAAAACAAATAATAAACTATTTTAATAGAAATATAAAAAATACTAAACTCAATAGTAATTAATTCTATCATATATAAATCAATTATATTCTTAGGCTAAAAATAATTAGATTACTTTTACGATTGATAATAATTAGTTCCAAAATTATTCCGATTTGGAACATATCCTGTAGTTGATAAACCCGATGATTGCCATGGAGCTGATTCTTTGCTAACTGTATTTGTGGCAGTGTTATATGAATTATCAAGATTATAAGCAGTAAAAGGAAATGTTGGTGGTGCCAATACGTTAAGTGAAGGATAGTTTTTGTAAGAATTATAGAAGTCGTTAGCAGCTTTCGATTGATAATTAGACTCTGCTGGAATCTTAGAGGTCTGTAAATTTATTGAATCCATTTGGGGAACATAACGACTATGAGGACTTACTCCAACTTCAAATACTTGTGGTTGATTGTAATTAATTCTTCCATTGAAGAAAGGATATTGAATGTTTGTGATAGGTCTGTCATTGCCTTTAGCTTTAGATGATATTGCATAATCCTACAAAAGAACATTTCTCTTAATTTACTTCCAAAGTTTTGATAAAAGGATTACTTTAATGCATTGCTTTGCCATTTACCTTATGAGTAGAGTGTTGATGAATCGATTGTGATTTTACTTCTTCTGAAATATCTTTTGTAGGCTTATCTGTATAATATCCAACATAACTGACTTCTTCTTCAATTTTTTGAGAACTGTCTTGAGAAAAATTTCCATTTTCATCAGAAGATTGTGAGTTTATTTGACTAACAATCTTTGAAAAATTTTGAGGATTTGTCTTCATGATTTCTATGTTGCCATGTGTTTTAGTGTTATTGGAAATGTATAAATTATCTGGAATATTCACCATTTCAACAGGATGGTGCTGTTCATTAAGTGATGATTGTGATTTATATATTTGAAGTGGAGATCCTACAATATCATCATCAACTTTTTTACCTAAAATAATAAATAATAAAATTAATCAAGAACTTGAAATTTTTTTATAAATATTTTCTGTGTTGACCTACTAAATTCTGGAGTAGTCAATTCAAGTTGAGATAAATCTATGGTCGAGTTCGTGGCCATTTCGTGATGTTGCGAATTATGTGTTTGTTGGTTGAGCCCAGAATTGAGTCCGGAATCCACAGGGTTAGACCAGGAACCTTGTTGTTGGGCCTGCATAAAAATAACTATTGACACCTCACTACTAATCTTTATTTATAACCTACTGTTCATTTATCTTAGATATTAATACAAAATAAATTCAACTCACATTTTGAAGATCTCGCAGTCTAATAATTTGATAGCCTTGAGATTGAAAGATCGGAAGAGATCTGTAAATCCGTAAGTTATTGGGATAAAATGGATAAGGAGGAACACTTGGACTAGGATAGATTGAAGGCATAGCTTGCTGGGGTAATTGTGCAGAGTTGCTTTGAGAAAGTCCACTTATATGTGCACTTAATTTCTGCTGGAGTTCTCTATTTCGTTGAAATTCAGCATTTAAGTCACGTGGTTGAAATTGATTTGGAGCAGTTGGAAAACTTGGTGATGGTCCAAGTATTCCAGGTTGTCCAGATGATTGGTATGGTCTATAATTCATCATCCAAGGATATGGCCACGACAGAGACGACATAGATTGAAAATTATAAGGCATTTGTCCAAATTGGCCATAATAAGGCTGATGATAGAGTTGATAAGGTTGAAAACCGGGTTGATAGTGATTTGGCTGTATATTTGGAGATAAATGTCTAAATTGTGACGGTTGATCGAAGCCTGGTTGAAGAGCAATGTCACCAAATGTTGATGATATTAGCAGCCAAGTTGTCAATATACGAAACTAATGAACAATTTTTACGATAAGAATCCATAAAAATAAATCAAAATAGAATGATTTTGAATAAAAAATAATAATGATTAAAAGTAGTAAAGAGAGTGTGAAAAAATTATCGCCTTACCAATGAATGAAATGCGATCTCCATAACGTCCAGCTAATCTTGTCGAAGCTCAATGCAAGACTGAGTTCGTGCCACTTTTGAGTCCGATAAATTCAGTATTAACATTGCTGACTAAAAGTTTCAAGTTTCCTTGTGCTTTTATCGCTATTCAATTCTTTGAATTTTTATTATTTCTCAATCAATTATAACCCATATACTTTTTTACTCGTACGTAAAATAAGTACTAAAGTAAGTGGGAATAATAAATAAATAGTTATTCTTCCACCTTGAATAAAAACGAGAAGTCTTGAGAGAGTTTCAAGTACGATTTAGACTTTTAGAGAGATCCATCAGGAGGCTTTTGATGCCGGTTAGCTTCTCAAAGGCCAGACATCCCCCAGACCGTAAATCCCAGTGGAATAAAAAGCAGCATTAACGCATTCATTCGAAACTTTTTAAGTTTTTTCTAGATTCTACACTCTTATTTTCTCTATCTTCGTTTTATTCTTTATTCCGATATTTTTCTTTCTTTCATCCATCTCTCATTACCTAAAATCACTGCAATGTTATTCTTTTCTTTCTACCTTCTCTACTTCCTTATTATATTCAATGCATTCGTAAGCACTTTCTGCTTGTCAGCAAGTGCAGTAACCTTAGAATACTATACCAAATTTCATATTAATTCCTGTTTCAAGTTTGCAGTATTTCGCAATAATATTATTAGCCATTCATTTAATTAAAATTTGCCATAGTCATCTTCTGATAACAATAGAATAATAATCTGTCACTAAATTTAATTTTTATTATCGTTGAAGAATTATTAATTTTTTAAATATTTAATAAACATTTTTTTAAACAATTCAAAATAATAATAAATATGATATGAAATTAATAGGATTAAGGAGAAATTATTCAGCATGATAATAAAGAAAAAGTTATTTTTAAAAAATAAAAGCTGAATTAAATGTTTTTCTTCATCTAAAAATAAAGTAGACTTGAATGTTTGAATAATGCATAATCTAGACACATAATACTTGATTTCAGATTGCGGATTCGGTACGTGATGCCGGCGGCGCACCTGACGCTGCGTGAGGAGGACGTGGTGCGACTGACCCTAGAATTTCTTCATGGTCGCGACCTTCACATAACGCAGCTCTCACTTGAGCGCGAAACAGGCGTGATAAATGGTCAGTACAGTGACGATGTACTCTTCTTACGTCAGTTGATCCTTGATGGACAGTGGGACGATGTCCTGGAGTTCATTCAGCCTCTTGAAGCATTGCCTGACTTCGATATGAGAAAGTTCACATATTCTATTCTACGTCACAAATATGTAGAACTACTTTGCATCAAGTCCGAAGCAAACGTTATAGCTGGAACTAACGGCAGTGTTGACAATGCTGTGGAAGAGGTTGTCAAAGTCTTAAGTGATCTGGAGAAAGTTGCACCATCGAAAGAGGAATACAGCAGCCTTTGTCTTCTGCTCACATTACCAAGACTTACAGACCATCTTCAGTACAAAGATTGGAATCCAAGTAATGCTAGAGTTCAATGTTTTAAAGAAGTTCATCCTTTGGTAGAAAAATTTTTACCAGGAGATAGGAAAGTAGACCCAACTCATCCGATTACGACTGCAAAAAATGATAGACTTATTCAATTAATCATCAAGGGCATTTTATACGAGTCTTGTGTTAATTATTGTCAAGCCAAGGCAACTGGATCTAAGGATAGTGAACAGGTTTGTTATTGTTCTTATTAACTACATACAAATAATACTTCCAATTAAAGTAAATAATTAGATATTTTTAACAACGTTGTCTTTATCAATTTTTAATTAGTAAAGAAACAACTGCTCTTAAATTATATAAGAGTATTAGTTAAAACTAAAGAAAAAAGTAAAAGTAATCTAATTATAACATTGTTGAAAATTTTAATTGGCAAAAAAAATATTCACAAAAATCTTTTTTTTTAGGTGGAGATGAGTTTCTCAAGACTATTAGATGGCTCAGTAGGATTTAGCGACTCGGATCTTAGTTTATTGTCTTGGCTGCAGAGTATTCCTCCTGAGACGTTTGCGGTGCCTTTTGCTCAGCGGACATTAAATGTAGATGTAGAGAGGTTGGAAAGACCATCCTTGGAGACTTCTTGGACTGAACACATGCTAATAACGCCAATAAAGCCAAAGACCTTCCCACATAGTGCAATGCCATTTACACGTCCGCGATCAGCAGCTGATATGATGTCTAGAAGTCTTGTACCAGCTTTAGAAGCTGGTCTTGGACCTAGAAGTCCTGGTCCAAAACATACTGCTCTTCCTTCTGCTGCTTTAATGGCTCTTTCTACTGGTGATATTAATAATATGTCACGATCATCTTTTGCTAGCTTTCATTTAACTGGATTTAAGAACAATAAAGTTATGAATACTAGTGTTGATAGGCTATTTGAGAATGAAGGAGACGTTTTTCTTAGCTCTAGTTATGCTGAATTTCAACAACTACCATCGATTCAGGAGACAATCGCTAATGCCAATGTAAATCAGCCAAAAGTACCACCAAGAACTCGAGGACAATCTCAAAGTCCAGATGGTAATTATTTTTTTAGTTTAATTAAGATATTTATTGTATGAGAAACAGTTTGAATATTTGAGTGACACATAATTGTTTATTTTAGGAAGTAAAATAACTCCATCGACAGCTTCGACACCAGAGAGAAGAGCTCCAGGTCGTGAATCACCCGCATTATCAACCGCAAGAAGTTCACGAAGAGATTCCTTAGCAGAAAAACCTACTGGTATAGCGGCAAAAATACCTGAACCCACAGCGATACCTACGCGTGGAGCTATCACTGGTGATCATCTTGATCAAAGTTACAACGGTGATTTATTTAAAGAATATCAAAAACAAAAACAAAGACTTCAAGAGACTATACAACAAAAAGAAAGGGAGAGAGATGAGCTTGTACGTCAGCTTTCTGCCCCTATTTCAGCCCAAATGGTGGACAATAGACTTCAAAATGAAAGGTAAAAATTTCTTTTCAACTCACAATAATTTTTTTTATTCTATAGGAATATTTTTTCACCAACTTGAAACATTGAATCTTTGATAAATCAATGTAAATCCATGAACCAGTGATCGTTTTCAAGCTTTCGTAGACAAACTACAACAAAATTTCATTATTCATTTCTGAATATTTGGATATTTTTTTTAGATAATACTTTTTTTCATGTTAATTACTTCATGATGTTACACATTTCCTTCGAATTATGGTAAACAATTTAACACTAGCTACGAAAGGTACTATTTTGCATATAATTAGAAAGGATTTAAGGAAATTTCGTGTAGAATTCAGCTAGAAAGAGTTTTTCATATTAAATTAAGATTTTGTGTCATTAATTAAAACTGTAAATCCAATTCATAAAGCGAAAAATACATAAGCTGAATATCTTCTTTTTTTCATCTATGTATGCTAAATATTTGGAAAAAATTACAGTAATAAAATATTTTAAGCTCCTAAGTTCGTTAAAAGAAAATGTAAGAGATGCTATAAATTCAGGTTTTTTATCTTTCATAGTGGTGTTAAAACAAGGAAAAAAGTGTAGATAATAATTATTTTGTATATCATCATGTAACATAATTCAGTTGTTTATTCTAATGAATGTAATTAATTTATGTTTGATTATCTAAAGAAAGTTGTTAAGAAATAATTGATAGAACGTGCTATTGAATAGTTGGAGATATGGTAAATTACGACAGTGAGTTGAGCAGAAAAATTGATTATCTCCTTTGAAATTTTAAATTTAGTATTTGACAGACGAATTTGCTTTATGTTTTTCTTGAGGGCTAACTTGTTATGGTTTTAAACCCCCTTGACGAACCAGAATAGCACCGTTGAGTCTAGACATAAGCGTGGCGCCGATTGGGAATTCAAAAGGAAATAAAAAAAACTGTGAAATAATGAAAGGAAAATTATTTCCGTCACCGGATGTATGCTAAAACTCATTTTAAAAAAGTATTCGCGACGTTTTACTGAAAAATTTTATTAATATCAATCTCATATACAGATCATATAGAAAAAAATTCAGATAATTTAATAGGAAATCAGTCAATAAAATTCTTGATTTATTTGATACTCCATTACTTTGATTACTCGATAGACAACTGGACTATAATAAAAGTTAAATAAATAAAAGAATTTGAAAGTGAAAATCTTGACGCGTGCGCTCGTTAATGTCGTGTAACGAGCTAAAATTACCTTGGCATGAAATGTCAAGTGCAATGCCTATCTTCTAGGGCTAAGAGGTTTGCAATATAGTTGAAGGAATGGTGGGCAGTAAAATAAGTAACTTACTTCGACTTCATCGACTGCTTCTTCTTCATCTTTTTCTTTCATCTCTGTTTCCTTATCGTTTTTTACCTCTTTCCTTCTTATTTTATTCATTCCTCCATTCAATATCATTTCTCTTCACGAGCTGAAGCGAGCATTGAACGATAACGTCTCGAGGACGATCGTAACATTAATATTCAAGTAGTCACAGCTTCTTGAATGATTTGCGGCCAATGACTCTCTTCCAATCCATCAGATCAGTTTCTTACAGTTGTTTCTTTTACAAACAAAATCCAGTTCAATTTCACTCTCGAACTTTTTTTTATCTCAAGTCAATCAACACTTTTTTATCATTGGATTATTAATTACACGGTGATAATTAAGTTTTATATTTTTTTTCGGCAAATTAGCTAATCTCAATTTTTATTTTAAAACAGTTAAAAAATGTTGAGTCAGGTGAAAGTTATTGTTTCAGAGGTGTTTGATGTGATACAAAATAATAAGTGTGGTGAATTTTTCAAAATATTTAGCAATTTAATCCAAACGAAAGTTGAATTGATGTGTCATCAGCAATTTATACAAACGGAAACCGGAAACACGGGTGAAGTCGCACAGCTATATGAATAAAATAAAATCACGTCACAGCTATTCACTGATGTATTCTCCTATTGTCCCTTTGCACAAGACACACGCGATTGTGTCCTCGAATTGAGGAAGACGTAAACTAAAGGCCAGCAAAATTATCATCACCGTCATCAATATTAAATTTCAATTTAAATCACATCTTCATATTTTATTTCAAATCCTCTGCTTATTAATCATGAATTCTAGATGATTCGTAATTGAGTCCACCTACATGTTTCATCATAACGCACATTAATTAGTACATGATGGCATTTGTCATTGGATTTAAACTCGACAAACGAATCATTGTTTACATAAAATATGTTTTATACGTTTGTACTCATGATCTCTTGTAAAATATTCATCACGCACTGAGACTTATCATGAAAACCATCTGTATAAATAAAGGTAACTCCTGAAAGTTCTAGACTAGAAAGTATTTCAAAGATTTCATTGAGCATGAGATGAAGTCGAAGTAATAGAATCGTTCATGAAGGTATCAGTGTAATAAAGTATATATTTAAGCAAATGAATATAAAACACATGTGATTTAGCTGGTGTTGTATCGTAAAATGAAGAATAACAGCCGTTAGTTCTTATAACACGACAGATGTTAGATGTTTTCTTGGTCTAGCATTTCAAGAACTCACTACTTTTACCATCCTCTTCTTGGTCGTTGTTTTAAAAATCTGTTTCACTGTGTTTTGGAATCATTTATCCAACTGTCATAGTTTCATTCTCATGTCATTTGTACATTTATTCGTTCCAGTTAAACCCTTTTTCACGTTCTAAATTACTTTTTGTTTATCATTTTTCTGATGTTATTCTAATTTTTTTTGCTCATTTCTTTGTTTGTTTTTTTTTTATTTCATTCGAAAAATTGTTGACAGCAGAATTATTATAAGACTTAGTCAACGTTTTTTAAAAACTATTATCTTTTGTTAGATAAAAAAACTATTTATATTTTAAAATAGTTATTAAATTTAGACTTTATCATTAAGTTGATTGTTTTTGAATTAGCATTAGAATAACTAATTAATTCAAGAAAAACAATTTTTTAATGATTTTTTAATAACTCAATAAACCAAAAATAATTTTATAATTATTCTATTTATGGTTATTGTCTTTTTAATTGAGATCAATTAATCAACACAATCTAACAAAAAATTATATTATATAAAACATTCTTAAGTGAAATATTGAACATTCGTATACTCCAGACTCTAATTGAAACTTTTTCTTATCTTATTTAATAAAATAATTACTTAAAAAAAAATTGATCATGTTCTCACATCATTGATAAATATGTCTGATACATTATTTTATGACGTTGAAAATTATGTCTGATATAAAATGCGAGTGTAATGAAAGCTGTGCACTGATGGAGGCGTTGGCTATAAGAGATATAGTTTTGTTACGTTGTTTGAGGGAACGAATGAGTGAGAGCCTGGCTCACTCACTACACCAGCTATTGAAGCCGACTCTGTACTCTGCGTTGAGCTTCCCCAGAGGTGGTAGTGTCGTCTCCAGTATCTCTTCTTCAATAAGATTACAACTTGTGCGTCTTGCAGTCGACACGCAGTCTATTGCAAAATTGCGAATGTGCTTGTTACTCAACACTTTAATTATCAGTGATTTTAATTTTATTTATACCACTTGTTGCATTTGTCTATCAATATTTACATTATTCATGTGCTCTCAATCAGCAACAAGAACTTGGAAAAGTTGACAATCAGTGATGAAAAGCTATCAATATATTTTTTTATCATTAATAATTAATTATTTATTTTTTATCAAAGGTTTCTTTGACATTAGTGAGACTTTGTTTAATAACATTCAGTGACATGTAATTATTTTGTGATGAAATAACTTTAATTAAATAAATAGTGAAGATAATTATTTATTGTTGATAGTTGAACTTTAAGTGAATTTCATTATATTTATTATTTATTGATTACTAACGAAAATTTAAAGTTATTGCAAAATGATGTATCACAAGCCAACTGTACCAAGATTCCGTATAGCTGAAAGAGTTGTTGTGTCTAATAATCGTCCAGCTAATACCAGTAAACTATACGAGCACAGTAGTACATGTAGTTTGCGGAATTCTGGTAGTAATTTATCCAGCATCAATCGGTAATTTTACAGATAAAAAAGATAATAAAAAATGAGGATAATAATACATGTGGAGTGCACTCGGTCTATTTATGCTAATGATTTGTCATCCATCATAATCTTTGGATTATTCTTTACTAGAAAATCTAATCAATGATTGAATATTCGATATGGATCGTAGGATAAGTTGACTAGGAATTGTAATGTAAAATCATTGTTTTCCAATTTCCAAAAGAAAACTAAACAACAGTCTATTGAATGTTTCTTTTATAGTATTGTATTATGGAGTTTATTTCATTCAATGAATTTAAATTTGTTTATTGATCAATAGAAAATATGTTGAATGAATAAATATTTGCTGAAGAAATTTTATAGATAGTTTATAAACTTGTGTGAAGTTAGAAAAAAATTTTATTCGTTGAATAAAGTGAATAAATTTGCAACACTATTTATCTTTTTTACGGATACTTAAAAAAGTTTATTCATTTATTACCTAGTCAAAAGAAGAAAAAAACAGTTTTATTGAGTATACTGAAAGCAACGGAATGGTTTTTTTTTTTTATTTATTCATAAACTTTCGTTCTCACGATTTCTTTATTTATTATTCTACTAAATAATATTTAAATATTGCTAATAATCATAAGTAATATTTTATTGCTATTTTCTAGTGGAAAAACCCACTTGCCAAGTAAAGGACCATCTCCAGTACACCCTGGAACGCCAAAAAGGTCTGGAATCCAATCTCCAAAGCCAATTCTTAATGGATCTGATCCAATGATGTAAGTTACTTCATTGTAATTAGTTAATTGAATTATTTCTTTAGTAATTCCTAATTCAAATTTAATTATTTTTTAATTTTAGACGACACAATTCATCAGGCAATGTTTACGATTCGAGAATCCCTGAAGGTCACTATGACACCGTAAAACCTGTTAAGGTAAGATAAAAATTAGAAAAAGAGAATATAATGTTTTTTTTTGGCATTTGAACTTCATTTGTAATTAGTCCAAGTCTCAATCAGTCATTTTAGTCATCATTGATTCTACTTTTAAACCTCAAGGTTTAACTATTAAACTTTGCACCATAAAACTCTAAATTTGCAAGAAAAAAAAATGAGAACAAGACTTGAACAACTGCGACTGACTCATGACGTAAGGCTTATAGAAATGTGTTGTAAAGTCAAAGAGAATAGAGTCTGATCATTTCAGTTTAATAAACAAGGACGTTTTAATCGATTTTTCTTCGCTATAATTATCGATTTTCTTCATCTTAATTGTCACTTATACACAGATATTTTATCTCTTAAGCTATTAATGACTACAATAGTTAAATATAATCAGGAATTAATTTCAGTGATCAGTTTTATAAAGATATCTTGCAAGTTGAGTTTTAATTACCTTTTATTAAATAAAAGATGATTTTTAATGGCGATTTTTTTTTTTGGTAAAAATAAGTTTAGAAAAAAACAAAAAATAATGGAAACTTCATGGCTGATGATGGCGATTATGATTGATTCGTTCCGGGAATTACGGTTGAAAATTTTTACAAAATGACTTAATGATCTAATGATTCCAATTGATATAATTTAACAATCATTTATTCGCTGATAATTAAAAATAATCGGGCCTTTCTGATGGCTTTTGATACGCCTACTTAACTACACAGGAGTGTCTTAAGTGGCTTTAGTTCCGGCATTTTATTGGGAAAAAATGCATTATACAATTATTGAGATAATACATCAATATATCTATGTTTCATTTACATTTCAATACTCTGTTTTACTTGACTGACAAAAGCAAATGCTGTTGTCGAGCAAACAAAAAGGTATACTAGGCCTTCTGTACTTTAAATAGTATAAATAAGTAATTCTACGAAGATACTTGACTAAAGGTGATTCATAAATGATATGAATGTTATAGCATATCAGAAAAAAATATTCTACAGTTTTTATGGAAGATTACTTTTAATCTTTCGTAGTCATAATTGTGTCGTAAGAGGTTGAAATTCGATAATCTGTATGCTTTGAATTGTGTTAGGATTTGTGATAGATTAAATGAATCGACAGAATTTTTACTTTTTAAAAGATCATTTGAAAATCACAATAACATTCATTCAAGAAACTAGTTTATTCATTGAATAAATTTTCTTTACAAATTTTTAATTAATTTGTTTCGAAAAATTTTAATGAATTTTTTTATTGTAAAACCTTGGTTTAGAATTGAATCTTTCAGTGATGGGAAATTCTTTATTTATATATTTAAAATATTCAACAAATGCTCTTATATAGATAGATAAACATGTAGGTATCGATTGAACGGCTGAAACAATTGTCTCGTAAGATTTTCTCAAGTGCATTGAATAATAATTCATACATGCTCATTCTTCTGCCTTCATTAGTTCCTCATTCATTCAAATGATGCAATCGTGCGATACAGTGATTGCGCTATGTAATTTGTTATTTTCCACACTGCCAAATCGATGCGTTATGTGATGCATCTAAAGGAAGGTAAACCGCGTGGGCAGAACAGAATAAGTACTTCCTAGATCGCGATGTCGTTATCTTAATCCACTTGTATAGGTCTAACGATATGCTTCACCAAATAGATTTATTATTATTATTATTTATGATGATGTTCATAAGTAATATGTTATTTCTGTCTCATCTTCACAATACCATGTAAGATATTTTTTCATTCACAAACTCTATCAATCCCAAGTTTTATAAGATTCACATAGATCAAGAGAGTATTTCTTCATTGTTTACTAACAAATATTTTTATTAATAGAATGCTTATTTTTAAAAATAATCTTAATAGAGTTCATTATAATATTCAACATAATTTTATCATTAAATCTGTATGGATATACAGTAGGTGTAACGCCAGTAGCTGTCATATGTAACTTGATTCACTGTTTACGATGTGGTTTTCTCAAAGTGTCACTTTTTTTTCTCTAAACTAAACAACTGCCACCTTTTCATCAAGGTAAACTGCAATCCGCTTTATAAGATCTCACGTAGGTGTTGTAGAGTTACTGTTCGTGTGTAATCAGATCTCCAGCTGTTTTGTCAACTTTGCATGACAATTAGCCCTGACCTTGCTCCCATACAATAAGTTTTTTAATACACATAAGTTGTATAATTATTAATTTTAAGTTTAAATATCTTACTATGATATTAATATACATAAATTCCCAAGTTTTCTTTAGCATGAGTTATTCTAAATTACCTACAATTTCATGCTCTGAAAAGAAATCTTGATCAACCAAATCTTTGTGAGAAAATAAATAAGTCATTTTTTTAATAATATACAAAATCACGGTCATTCTAAAAGAGATGAACTATTTTGATATTTTAAATTGATATATTTAAACTTTCTTAAATATTTGAAATAATACATTAGCAAAACAGAAAATGATTTTTTTTAAGTTAAAAACCACTTCATTTAATAAATTTAAGTGAAAGATTAAAAACGGATTTAAAAACGTGTTGAGCAGACTCTTTAAAATGAAACTGAATATTCCTTTGTACTGCTGAAATAGTTGGTTCATTGTTATGAAATTTTTTGCCGAGATATCATGATAAATAGAGTGAATGGTTGTTGAAGAGGTTGTAAGACTCATATGATTATCACGAGCAGCATTCCATCGCTCTCTTTCCTTTTTGCATTGACTCAGGAAGCAATACATGTTCTTCTGATGATGGCTCACGTTTTATCCATGCATTTCTCTCGTCATTTCCACGGAGTATGACCCGTTACGTATGTAAGGCATGTCTGGCTCGAAAAGTCGGTCAGTCTTTAGCCTCATAAGAGTTTTTGCACGACTGGGAATGGCCTAGAATTTTTTTTTATCAAATTAATTATCTTTACGTTAATTAATCTATTTGGAAAAAATAGATATACCAAAATCAATTAATAAATAAATACATGAGAAATATCACAATCATCCGGTATTCATAAAGTCTCTAATATGTGGGTGGAAAAAAATCTCACAACGTAAACAATGACATCAGGACTATTTAAATCACCAAAAAAAAAAAAAAATATAATTTCATGGTGCATAATAATCAAGAAGTTCACGGACATGATGGCAAGAAATATTAACTCATCTTATTATGATCTATATTGTACTTTTCTGCGATAAAAACCCATAAGTTTGACCTAATATGGAGAAGGCTAAAGCAACTGATCGAGTGGGGATTTACCAGGGACCTCTTTGATTCTACAATTCTCCCTTCTCTTTTTCTCAGTGTTCAGTGGTATCCAGTCAGTCGCGTTAAACCACGTCTTTAATATTAGTCGAGACTTACGTGAGTTTGCAACCGATTAATTGTCATTAGATTTACATTTCTCCTTCTCTCTGTCTCCATTCAATGAAGATTAATTATCAGTTTAGTTTAATAGCTCTGGTGTAACTGAAGAAGAATAAATAGTGAAGTGAATTATTGATGAAAAAACATTTTTCATGAAAATAAAAGTTATCTACTTGAATTCTCAACTTGTTTTTAATATAAAGAATGTCATCACTTCATCAACAGGCGGCAATTCGTCGTCTGGAAGCTTTATTTCGAGATGTTAAAATAGAGCAAGACAATCACAATAAAAATCAAGTGATTAGAATCGAACGAAAAATCGATAGATGCTGTGACATTCATGGGAAGCATGCCAAGGAAAACTGCACCAATCGTCGTGGCTCTTTAAATGCTTTATATCCACGAAAGGATTCTCTTAATCGTCGTGATAATTTTAGCTTATCTGGAAATACCTTGGGACGTCGAAGTTCATTAGGATTTTCATCATCGTCTCTGAAAAAAGAGATTCATCCATCGTCCTTTCCTAATACATTACGAAGAGATCCTTTAGCAGCATCAACAGGTGCTATTAATCACTTTAAAAAGGATACTTACTCTAGTAGTCCATTTTTAAGACATGAATCTGTTGGTAGATCTATTGGGTGCTTGAAAAAGGAGACAACAAGCTATAATGCTCCTTTGAGACGTGACTACGTCGCTAAGTCAATGACAAGTCTCCAGAGAACTGGAACACGTCGAGACTCTCTGGAAAGTGCCAATAACAACATCTCCAGTCTCTTTAGTGTTTCATCTAATTCTCCAGGGAGCTTTAAAGCTAACACTGATGATTTTAGCAGTCGAAGTGTCTCCAATGGAAATCTTAAAAGTTGCTTGGCTGGTTCCAATGGCAATTTACGCAGCAATTTAAGTGTTACCCTCAAAAGTGATCCACTTCATGGATCCAATGGAAATTTGAAGAAAGATAAACTCAGCTCGTCTGTTGGTAATTTCTACAATTACACTAATAAAAGAGGGTCCATTGATAAAAAAAAATTCTCCACTGATTCTTTGGATAATTTGAAGAGGAATTCTTGGGACCCGGGTCGCAGAAACTCTTCAGGTTCCTCTGGTGGTTGGGATGATCCTATTTGGGAGGAAGGCTGTAAAAAGGTAAAAAATAAATTTAACTTCATCAAAAGAAGAAGCAGTTAAGTCAAAGTGTCTTAAATTTATAATAAAAAAGACTTATAGAAAGAATTCAAAAGAAGGAAAGTTATAAAATATTATTAAGAAATAATTTTTTTAAAAGTTTCTCTAAAACTTATAGATTCAAGTGATAAATTTTGAATCCATTGTCTATGAATATCAAAAATCAAAATGGTCTTCAGATTGGATTCAACAGTTTTTGTATGAAAAAAAAAAATAGTTGATAATAATGAACCGGCTTTGATGTTCTTTTGGAACTGGAACACGGTCACTTCTGGTGACTCTGGGTCCTGATGACGTTAATTACGTCATCACTCATACCATGCATGGCAATATCTCGTCGCGGTCTTGATGGCTTAGTCACTAGACGATTACGAAAACTGCATTTTTGCTTTCAGATTAATTGACGGCTGATGAATTTTTATTTATCTTTTATTTTA